TTGCAATTTTCATCGATAACTGTCAAAATTCGCTATAAAATTAATTTCTTGAAGGAATAGATATGCCGGATGCCAAATATCCGGTATCCGGCTTTTCGCAAAATCACTATCCGTTCCATCACAATGTATATTCTTAAACATACTCTCAACATTATGAGTGAAATTTCCTGTAAATCATTTTTCTGGTTCTATATCAGTATCGGAATTTGAATCGTCATTAATTCTTATTTTTACCTGCTGCATTTTAAACGTTAACACAACTCTAATTGTTATGCTGATTTCGTTTTGATGTTGCTTCTTCGTTTCAACGACATTCGAATCCCTTCATTTCATATTTAAATTGCAATCAAGAAGTATTTTTTTTCCTTTTTGTCGCTTAGTCGCGCGACGTGGTAGGTATAAAGGATTGAATATATAAACAGTTCTTTTCACCTATTTACACACGCGCACACATTCAAATTGAATTTAAATCGAATGTTGCTTTTTTTGAATATTTTATTTTTGAGTAAAAATCTTGTAGTGAGTTATTAAATTGGAACACTTAAACATAATCAAGTGAACACTAAATTTATTAATGAACTTTGGTGAAGTAATTATTAACGGTGGGGATACTCTAAAATATGTCCTTTGATATATTAGGGTATATACCACAGACTTCAAATATTTTCTTTATATATTAAATGACGTTGTATTTTTTAATCTTTTTAGACACTTTGTACAAATGTTTCTCAACGTCAAAGCAGTTCGAGAAATAATAAAGAAGACGAATTGACGTATGTCGTATCGTGGAAAGCGAAAGAACGTTCGGTAATATACCGAAGAGATGTTTGTTTAAGCTGTGGTGAATCTTTCGAAGTCCAATCTGCCGACACGAATGGAACGTGTTCCTTAAAGTCTCAATGACTGAGGCTGTGTACGTGTCTTACTATGAGGCACAAGCAACAACGAACCGAAAGAACCTCGGATACATTCCTTTAAATCCAATTAGACAAATTTTTTTTGAAATAACAAGTTATTTCTTAATTTTTCCTACGTCGTTGACCAAAATGTTCAAAATAATTTATTTTAGCAGCGAGTATTTTTTATACACAATTTATTGATAAAAATTAATAATGTAACTGTATTAATTTAAAATTTGTTAGTAATAACTAAGCGTTAGAGATTTGTAGTGATTTTATTAGTTAAATATAAATATTACTTAATTCCTCGTCTCAAATTTCTGTGAGATTAGAAGAGAATTGAAATTTATGACATATAAATGTTCCACATAACAAATATATCAATATGAGTATTTTTATATTGAGCGAATATCAACTTCTTTTTATTCAATGTAAATAGTTTTGAGAATTGATGTAATAATGGTTATAAATAAAATTAAAATTGATGTCACATTACTGGTTTTATTCTAATTTATGATTAATCCATACTACCAAATAACATTAATGAGAAAAAACATTTTTCCGTATTAACACAAATCATATTCTATTTTCCCTAAAAATTCAAAATTAATTTATTTAGTTACTTAAATAATTTTAAAATTATAAGCGTGTATGGCTAAATCAACAACTCTAGAAATATAAACATCCTCGTTTTTCGAATCGAAATCGAAACTCTTCATAATACTATTTCCCTCTTTGTTAATATCAGACAAATCGGGAACTTCATCGGCATCGCTCAACATTAATTTAATAACCATACAGGAAAACAAAAATCCGTATTTTGCGTATTTTTCGTATTGAGATTTCAATTCGTGAAAACTCAAATGGTTTATGCTGGCGCAACCCAATTTTGTTAGTTGAGCCATCAAACTGTTGTGGTAAACCCTTAACCAATCGTCCAGATTATTAAAAACCGATTTATCAGAACAAGCGTAAAGGAAATAAGAGATGTCTTCGGCGGGAGAACCAACTTTTTGAAGTTGCCAATCGATCAAACGCATTGATGTTGGTATAAATGGATTATTAACATCCTGAAAATTAAGATATGTAATTAGAAATTTTTTCAAAATTTCAAAATAATTTTTTTAAAGATAATTCGTTAATTGCACACATACACAGTCCTGGCTCTCAAATCACTCAATGAACAGATAATTAAATCAAAAAAGGCTGGCTTTTAACATCAACAAAGTATTTAAATGGCAGATCACAAACTCACCTAGAACTAGAATCATTCGGGTTTAGCCGTATTGAGAGACGTGCGGCTAAACTCGAATGTTTCTAGTTCTAGGTCGTGTTAATTTACTTTTATTTCAGTAAAAATAGACAACAATTTAGAGCTTAATAACAACTAAAACTACAACTACCACTGTCTCTTAAGACGGAAACTCAGAGTTATCATAATGACGTCATCTTTTCCAAGCAAGTTTCATAACTAAACTACTAAGTAGTAAAGCCGGTTTTCAAATTCTTGCCTTACTTTCTGAAAAGTTTCTCGTGGAATGTTTCGGCACTCGTTGATAATTTGTTGACGCAAGTCATTTAAATCTATGGGTTTAGTCTTATAAACTATTGACTTTAAATAACCCCAAAGGAACAACTCAAGACTTGTGAGGTCCGGTGATCGTGGAGGCCATTCGATTGTTCCTTGTCTACCAATCCAGTGATTTGGAAATCTCTGGTTAAGCCAGTTACCAACATTCGCAGCATAATGCGGTGGAACACTATCCTTCCTGCTGGAAGAACAATTGATGTACGTCGAGTACTTGATTACCTTCTTCATCAAGCTGGTTTTCCTCTTCTTGATGAAGTGTTCTCCAACATATTCAAGTGCAGGGTGGTTCAAATTCGATGTCCGAATAGGCTATCTCGGAAACTATAAGAGTTAGAAAAAAAGTAGCTTACATATTCGTTATCGTCTTTTGTTTTTCCCCTAGAGGCCAACATTAAAAATATCGTAAAACCAGCAAGTGCAATTATCTTGGTTATTATTATAGGTAGAGTATTATAACTAAGACATTATACGGACACTTTTTTACAGAATATTTGATGACGTAGCAAAAAAAATTTTTCGGTTCTAGATTTTGAGATATTATAACAATTTTCGTTTTTGTAAATGGAAACAACCACTGATTATTCGCTTATTAAATTCGTTATTTTTTTTCTGACTACATAAATATGGGGTTAGGTCTATTTCTCATTATTTTAGAATAAAGCTAAAACTAACTTTTTTTTAGTGTCGTCAAAGGAATTTAATTTACAGTTTCCTGTAAATTACGATACTATAACTAAATTCTACTAAAAATGTATATAAAATTTACTTTATTTTCTAATATGTAACATTCTAATATGTAACATTCTAACATGTTAAACTTTTCGTAATTTTCGTAATCCATCTTAAAAAACAGGATTTTTAATTTGACACTTCAGAAAATTTTTAAATACAAACAAATATAGTTCGTTTTTTTCTATAATACTTGTCAATGTAAATTATTTAGGGTTTCTGTTGGTATTATCTAGGACCCTTATAAAATTTATGTTGTTTTCATGATTTTTAGTAACATTGTCAGTAACTAATTAGTTGAGGTTAAAATACTAATAAATTTTTAGATAAATACGATTTTGACGAAGTACATATTTGTTATAAAAACGTGCTACAAAGTAATTAAATAGAATAAAATACCTTTTCTAGGTAAGTAAATGGCAAATAAACACCCCACAACACTTTTTATGCACCTTTTCTTTTTGAATAACGAAAGCTCAAACGTCAATGTGACATATTTACTTCAAAACATGATAAAACAAAACTCCCTGTTAATTTTGCCAACTTTACAACAATTTGACAGGTATTATAGAAAAAAAATGAACTATANAAAATATTATAAATAATATAAATTGTCAATTTTGTATTGACCTATTGATATTAAAAAATGACAGTCACCATAATTATGCAAAAGAAAACTTCACGCGACATGTGAATAGAGGCAATTTAATTTTACCATCCAATGCAGTCTATTTGATTGTAAAGGTGCTCGAAAAATCGTTCCAAGCTGTGGTGCTTAAAGAGCACCATTTAAAGAATGTCAAATCCAACGTTATTAAATGCGCCAAAGAAAATATTTGTGATAAGCATTCATTATTTTTCTTCCCAAACATGCATCCGATAAATGTTGAATTCGGAACACCATCGCATGAATATACTTTGTTCCATTTAATAGCCCAACATTTTATAAACATAAGAGCTAATCATTATGGAAAACAATTTAATTTACAAAATGTTCTAAAGAATAATTCTTCTGTTCGCCAAAAACTAACTAAATTAATATTATTTAATAATGTATAATTTAAATATATCTATGTTATATTTCTAATAAATAATCCAAAGAAAAACAAGCTTTGAAGTATTTTTTATTTATTTCCTAAACTATAATAACTTAAATATATATTATTTGGTATTTTTCATCATTATTGAATAACATTATTTGAATTATTTAGTAAATATTGAATAAATTCATGCAGAATCATATCCATTAGTTAGTACTATTTGTATTTCTTGCCGTTATAGAGTGGGGGAACATGCTGGCGCGCCGGACCGGTTTCTCGACCAAGCGAATATCGTGAGCACGCACTCCAGTAAAGTATATGTATCTCGATGATATAAATATATATATGAGCGCCATCTATCAATAATTTATTAAGTCATTTAATAATAATATCAAATATGTATTAATAAAGAAATGTGAAATAATGCAATCCATTCCAACTTTTGTGTAAAACAAATATAAATTAAATAGTTCAACAAATGTATTTGTTTCAAATATCAGAAATATGTTTTTTTAATTTTTAATTATAATTTACAGAAAACTGTAAATTTAATTTCTTTGACGACACTAATAAAAAGTTTATTTTTAGCTTTATTCTAATAAGACAATAAGAAATAAACCTGTCAAACCCTATATTTTTGTAATAAAAAAAAAATAATGAATTTAATAAGCGAATAATCAGTGGTTGTTTCTATTTAAGAAAACGAAAATTGTCATAATATCTCAAAATGTAAAACCGAAAAATTTTTTTTGACTGTCATCAAATTCTCTGTAAAAAAATGTCCATATAATTTCTTAATTATAATACACCACCTATAATAATAACCAAGATAATTGCACTTGTTGGTTTTACGATATTTTCAATTTTGGCCTCTAGGGGAAAAACAAAAGACGATAGCGCTTTGAGGTTTTCGGCATTAGCAGTTTCTCGAAAAACGCACATCATCAAAAACAAAAAATCAAAAACGGGACATCATGACATGTAAGCTACTTTTTTTCTAACTCTTATAGTTTCCGAGTTAGCCTATTCGGACATCGAATTTGAACCACCCTGTACACGTCACCATTTAGCGTTTCATTAATGAATATGGGTCCAACTATTAAATTACCTAGTATTCCTGCCCAAACATTAATCTTTTGAGGTCTCTGGGTATATTCCTCTTGTCATATGGGGATTTTCGTAGCTCCAATATGGTACATTATGCTCATCATTGAAGCAAATGTTTTTTACTAAATTTGGATTCGCAATGATCATTTCGGTCATAGTTTTTGCAATTTTTTCTTGCAATATTTGCAGCTTGTAAGGGCGAAATTTATGCAGCTTTGTCATTTTGCGTACTTACTAATATAAAGTAATAATACGACGTACTAATAAGAAAGTCCGGTGGATGCTGCAACCTGACGCAAAAAGTTGGTAGGCTTCATGGTAAAATTTCCAATTATTTCCATCTCTGCCAGTTCATCTATTACCTTATTAGTATGCTTTTTCTTGTTCTCTACCAATCCAGTTACATCAAATTTTTGCAAAAGTTGCTCCATATGCTTATTTGGATGTCTTTGATTAAAAACCCTTGCTGTTGCACAAGCACATTGCTCGGCACCATAAATTTAGACCATTTTTACGGAAACCAATATAAGTTAAGTTGACTAAACGGAAACAACTAATGTGACAGTTTGTTAGACAAAACGTCAAAGGCTTGTTTTCTTTTGTTTCCATGCCTAACTGATGAAAATTAGGTTTCGAAAGCGCATTCCGTTTCCCCCTTTAAATATAAGTGGACCTTTTTTCGAAAATTTTCAATATCCTTTCGGTTTCAGAAATATCTTAGGCAGATCGTTTTCAAAAAATCACCCCGTATACTATAAAATTTAATAAAAAATTTTCCAAAAAAAAACTTATACTTACATCATATTTGAACATCATATTATTAGTCCAACAATCACCATGGGTAATAACAGAATACTTATTCCCAACTCCCATGCTCATTTCTTCAAAAAACTCCATGTAATTTCCACGAAATTTAGTCAATGCATTTACAACGTTTCCATTAAATTTTATTTTAGGGCAATCAATAATTCTATCTAAAATACGATCAAAAACGGATTTAAAATCAGCGTTTCTCAAAAAAGTCAAAAAATTATCCGTCATTGGCGCAACGATTTCGTTAAAAACTTTTGGATGGTACTCTTTTAACGCATAACTCAAAGCGTGAAGATGCGAAAATTCTTCTAAAGCAAGTTTAATGTGTTGTTTCGACATTGTTCTTCGTCGTTCGCAAACTGAAAATCCAGCTTCTTTTAAATTTTCCATCACGATACCTTCGCCGTTATTCTTTAAACTATACCCGTAACATTTTGCTATATTAATAAATGGTTTTACATCGCCACGATCTAATTGGAATTTTCTTAATAGCGGATAAATTTTGGTGTAAAAATTTATTTCTGTTATATAACAATTTCTTAGTGGTGCGTGTTTTCTTATTTCTTCCCCAATAGGTGCTGTTTTTACGATTACTTTCAAAATTTTATTAGTACCCCTTAAAACAACAGGGGTAACAACACCTAAATAACCTTCACCTTTATCGTTCTTTTCCAAAATATCGATCTCGGGATCTTGAATTGATTCTTTGTATATAACTAATTCTAAAAGATGACGAAGTTCTTCCATTTTTTTATAACACTTTTTTTGAAACAACTTAACGAATAAATCTTTTAACACTATATGAACATGACATCAATCCAACTTTTATATAAATCGACTTCTGCTTTACGTAAGATATAATAACTAAGAAAACCAAAAAAAAATAATTTAGACGAAACAGATAATTATACAGAAGTTTGCGAAAACCACAATTACGTCGATACACATGCAATGGTTTCCGAGACAAGACAATGAGCAAAAACCGGAATATCTAATCTAAAATGGTATTTAACAGATTACACGTGGATGTCAATATATACATACACGATAGAAGAACTCCTAATCAATAGTACATTAATTATTATAGTGATGACCTATAATCTTTTATGTGTTTAGCTCTTTTATTCTTTCATTATGGTTATTATCTTAAATAAAGACTATGTTATGTCTAATCGGTCATTAACATATCCGAAATGTAAATACATAGGGAAAAACAATTAGCCAATTTTTTTTTATTACTTGTTGGTAATTAAATAATAAATTGTTAAAATCGGTAATAATTTAATACGATATTTTTAATCATATCGATATTCTCAAAGGTTTTAGGTGCTAGAATGATGAGGGGATAAGCGCTTGGTTATAAATTCAAACATAGAGCAAACAAAATCTATAGTTTGTAGGTTGCCAGGAGCGATAGCTTTACATCAAAGGACGGGGTAACTCAATTCTCAGAGATATGAAGGTTTTAGGTACAATCTTGTTTCCCTATCTACATTAAAATAACGTTTAACGTTTCGGATGTAAATAAAACATTCGGATTTAGCCGCACATCTCTCAATACGGCTAAACCAGAATGATTCTCGTTCTTGGTCTAATCGTTAGTTTTACTGACAGTGCAAGTGTAAAACCAGAACTAACATTATAACTAGAACTAGAATCATTCGGGTTTAGCCGTCTTAAGAGATTCGCGGCTAAACCCAAATGATTCTAGTTCTATGTATAGTGTTTGTTCTACATAGTAACAGTGCTAGTATAAAACTAGAACCAACACTAGACCTAGGACTAGAAACTTTCTAGTTCTAGGTCTAGTGTTAGTTCTAGTTTTAATTGTTATTAAGCGCTAAATTGTTTACTGAAATATAAGTAGAACTAACTTTAGATCTAGAACTAGGATTTAGTCGTACGTCTCTTAAGACGGCTAAACCCAAATGATTCTAGTTCTACTATACAGGGTGTTACAGGTTTTTGTAGGAGTTCGTATCGAATAATAAAACGTGGATTATCTTGAAAACGATAAACTTTAGCGCATTTTGATAAGAGTATCCTTTTTGCTTAGAAAGTACAGAGAATAAGAATTTTTATTCAAAAAGCGAAAAGGTATACAGTCAGAAAAATTATTGTTATTTTAATCCGTAAAGAATACGTTACAGAGCGCCCTCTACCGGCTATAGTAAAACGGACTCTATAATCATCTTACTCATGCCAAAAAACCTCCGTATACCAAATTTGAACAGAATCGGTTGAAATACACGTGTAATATTAAATAAAAGTCAATTTAAAAATTTAATTTGAACATCCTGTATCTTCAAAACAAAGCGTTTGTCGACCTATGTTTATATGAAGTTTTAGTGTTAATTTTAAAAGATCTATCGACTGTTAAAGTCCTGCTACAAAATCTGAAACACCCTGTATAATCTTGTTATGTATAACTTTCTATCTGTCATAATAACTGAGATACCCTGCAAACCCATCGAAATTTAGACACCTGTACAGTGTTAGTTCTACATAGTAACAGTATAAAACTAGAACTAACACTAGACCTAGAACTAGAAAGTCTGAAGACGCACGGCTAAACCCGAAACTTTCTAGTTCTAGGTCTAGTGTTAGTTCTAGTTTTAATTATTATTAAGCGCTGAATTGTTGTCTATTTTTACTGAAATAAAAGTAGAACACTAGATCTAAAACTAGAAACATTTGGGTCTAGCCATACGTCTCTCAAGACGGCTAAACCCGAAACTTTCTAGTTCTAGTATTAGTTCTAGTTTTAGTTCAATAAAAATACCACCTACCAGCCGTCTTAAGAGACACACCGCATTCTAGTGTTATTAAGCACTAGATTATTATATATTTTTATTGAGCTATAACGGACACTGCGTTTTTGCAGTAATGTCCAATTGTATTGACATGTTGCATTTTCTATGAAAATATATTTTTGTATATTGCATCTTAAATAAAATTCATTATGTATTGTTAGCTCTAAAAAGTTTGATTGTACATCATGTTTAGTTAATTTTGTAGATTATCAACTATTATTATAATAGTTGGATAAATACTAACGACATAATAATTATGTATAACCCTTTTGATTACAATCAGTAAACCTCCTTGTAAAATTAAAGTCTCTGGTAGAAACGTTTATGGAAAAAATGATAACATCATTCCTATTTATACCCATGAACTTGGTAAAATTTCAAATTAACGTTTCTATTGAACTTATCTAAACAACCTTTTATATCTAAGATAGTTTTTCTAAACTTATTATGAGAGGTTATAATGGGGTTACAATTAATCGTTTTAAAATTGATCTCTTCTGTTCTTATCTTTTGGAGACTTTCCAGCTTTGATTTATTTCTTGCGAATTTTGTTCATCAAGTCTTGCTCCATATTTTATGGCCAATTCATTCCATATTTCGTTATGATTACAATCGTAATAATCAGGACTATAAAGGAAAGGATTTATTAGGTTAATAATTATTGAAAATCTAAGCATTGTTGCAACAAGCGAATCAAACCAATGATACTTATTGAATGATACAATCCAGCTTTTATTTATTTCTTGCGAATTTTGTTCATCAAGTCTCGCTCCATATTTTATGGCCAATTCATTCCATATTTCGTTAAAATTACAATCGTAATAATCAGGACTATAAAGGAAAGGATTTATTAGGTTAATAATTATTGAAAATCTAAGCATTGTTGCAACAAGGGAATCAAACCAATGATACTTATTGAATGATACAATCAAATCTGGCGATTCACTTATTGAAACAAAGCTATAATATAAAAAAAATCAATTTCCAAGTGCTTTATTTATATTGATGAAAAAAATGAACTTACCCTAAATTCCTATAATTATACTTAATAGTATGGGATAACTAAGAGATGAATTACATAATGAAAAGTTCTATCTACAATTTATTCAAAGGTTTTCTTCCGATGTACCTTTAGACTAGTCGTCCAGTTTATCATCAACTTTTTGCTTTTTAATTGACGTTTACATCTTCAACGTCATTGTTAGTCGTCTTCTCTTCTTTCTTATTTATCTCCCATTTATTTAATTCTTTTTACGTAATGTGTGGATGTGTTTTTTATTTACAAGTTCTCGCACCGCTCCTGTATGCAATATCACCGCTTCCTATGTACAGTTTTTAAAATTTAATAAAAGAAACAGCGCCCGAACGCGCGCGTACCTCCCTCGGGAGCCCCACCATCGGCCACAATGCACACACAAGTGATAATCACATATTCAATAAATAATAGCTAGGTATAAAATAACATCATAACAAAACGACATCTTAACTGGATTCATACTTTTTCTTCGTTTTATATCCGTTTCGATTCTTCTTTTAATTAATTTCGGCGTTAAATTATTGTTAATTGATCAGTCCAGGACCACCACCTGTACTTCATCTCCTTTTGTCTTTAGAGATCTCCATGGTTTTCGAGCTGCCCTTCTTAATTCTACCAAAGAAATTTGTCTGCGATGTTTCCTGAAATTAAATTAATTTTTTAATCATTTATATTTTTCAAATTGATCAAATATACATACTTGCTACTATCTGTCGCTCTAAAATAAACATCATCCGGGGCATCCATCCAACTTATCACCTGTTTACGTCCGGAACCCATCCGCGTCATATGGGAGAGTTTCGGTTTTCCATTTATTTGTGCGATGTGTCTTGGAATTTGTTGTGATGGGATTAAAGGAACTGGAACGGATGAGCCATATTGCTCTGTTGAGGATCTGTTCACCACCATCATATCCTTTGCCAACTTCTTAGGTGGTGGACACGTTATTACAGCACCTTTGTACAAAAAGAAACGGTGTAAAGTAGCCACTTTTAAAAAGTTCTCTTAATGCGGAATTAAGTGTTAGAAAATTTTTTGAAAACTCACCATCATCCCAATCCATGTCAGAGTAGAAGCCAGCATTAACAAAATATAAGAATAATATTTTTGATACAAAACAAATTAAATAAAGCTATTTTATGACAAGTAATTCTTTTATGTAAGTTGTTAAATTTGTAATCATATTTTTGATATTTAAGATAGAATCAAATACTTTTTTCTACTTTAAAATGAATGTAAAAAGAAAATGAATACTTACTGTCAATCCCATTACATTCATCATACGCTCTCTTCTTAAAAGATGGGGACATATTCAAAGGAATCTTCTCCGCTTCTGGATTATTAGGTATTCTCTCATAAACCAGGCTCCCATCCGGTGCTTTTGGCGGTTTAGGAAAAGCTATGTGTTCCGGTTTTGGCATGTTCTCCCTATCAGTAAGAATAAGCCATTGTGGAACAACGCTCCCCGGATTTCCCAATCGTGTAGCAATATTCGTCACGCTGCCACGATTTTTCTTATGATAAATCAATAACTGCTTCAACTCATGTTGACCTTTCCCGACCATCAACAACGTACACTCTTGTTTAACCGCTTGGATGTTGATAGCGAAAAAGGGAGCTCTAGCCGCGTGTCTTGGTCGCATAATGTGTTTACACAACCGCCTCGATATCCTCGTCAGAGGTGTCGTGGACAGATAAAACGCCGTTCTCGTCTTCATAACCGGTCGACCCGGAGATCCGGATCTGACGATCATTCCGTGGGCGCTCGCGTAGTGTCTGGCGAGATGAGCTTTTAATTTAAATTCTTTCCCACAACCGCTTATGTGACATCTATGGGGGCGATGGGATAGGGCGGAAGTGCGATCATCTTCACCGTCGCTACCACTCTTCTTTTTAGCGCAAAGATCAAATTCGTTGTCACCGATTCGAGTTGGCGTTTTAAGGCCGCCGTAACGCTTCCAGTATTGCCAACAGGCTTGACAGAGGCGACATTGCATATGAGATGGTCCCCAAGCATACCACTGACTTGACACGGAAACTGTATAGGAAAATTAATTGTATTGTGACTAATAAATTTAAAAAAAAATAAATCGTATGACTTACCATTGCATGATTCACAGGGTTTACCATTTCCGGAAACTGTTGGATCGCCACCACCACCTGTACCATTACTGCCGCCGTTCATTACGGATTTGTTGTTGTTTAAAACTGGCGTACCTGGTTTATTACTGAAAATGATAATTTGAATTAGATTAACTCTTAAATATTTGAGTGAGAAGAAATGTTGACTCATATTTTGATTTTAAAGTTAGCCAGTGTTTAGATGTAAATTAACAAATTCTTAATTGTGTTAAATATTTCAATCTTAAAATTATAAAATAAAATAAAACCGAGACTCTTAAAGCACGATTATGGACAAAACGTGACTTGCTGGAACAAAGGGTGATATGCATAAGCTAAAGTCCAAAGCAATGTACATTTTGTACACGAATTGCTATTCAGTGAGGTTTGAGGTTCCAGCAAATAACATAAAACCGATATAAGCAAAGTGTTTCCGTTGATTTGATATCGTTAACTTGCTAATTGTTTTTTAAAAGTAACCATGTACTGAGTCATGTCCGAATTGTTGTCGAATCTGTTTTCATAGTTTTATGTAAATACATTCTCAAAGTTGAGAGATTCTGTGCTGTTCTCCGTGTGAATTTATGTAATTATGTTGTCCAATTGTAACAACAGGTTACCTTCGTTTATAAAGAAGAAAATGTTTTTGACTTTGTTAGCTACTCATTCTTGAGGTAGACATAATATTTACGTGATAAATGAGATGTAGTATAGTTTACATTATCTAGGAATCTTGTGTAATTTTCCACCATGTATTGAAACCACCCATCTTTTATAAACGAATATTTTTATGATACTTTAATTAAATAGTCATTACAATATGATAATAGAATAAATAAAGTAACAACATAATCGAAGTAATAAACATTTAGAAGAAAAATTTAAACGATTTGATCAACACTAAAACAAAATAATAAACACTAAAAATTAAATGAGAACTGGCAAACAGAAAAGATTAAATTAAATTACTGTATTAAATCTGTATTGCAACATAAACTAGTCCAAATATTTACATTAAAAAAAAGATAGCCTTTTTAGATCAGAAAATAGGATTGAAAGCGGAATCTAAGAATAACTATGTAATTGAATTGAAAATTTCGGATATATTAGAACAGCGATTCCCAATTAGATTTAACTATGGACCAAAATCGACCCCCTAAAATCGTTTGTGTTCGCCATGGACCCCTATACTAAATGAACAAATTAAACCCCTGGATAAATTAATAAACCGTTCATTTTATACACAAAGGATTTATTTTGTTTTATATTTTAACTATTATCACAAGGTACAAAAACAAAAAAAATTTAGAGCGATCGGTGAACTTGCATTTCTTTTACAAGTTTCTCAAAATTTGGTTGTATATTTTTCGACAGTGTAACGCGTTTAATCTGTTTCTTGATTTACTTTTTACTTGAAGTAATGACGAAAAATATTGTACACAAAGATATGTGGTTGGAAAGAATATTGAAATTTGCAAAACTTTGTTTCCTAAATTTGGCGATTCATTGAAAACGTATGCCCAGAAATCAGACAGATTTTTTTCTTTGAAAGCCATTTGAAGCTCTCCATTGGTAACTAAGTCAATAAAATCTTCTTTCTTAACCTCCATATCCATATAACCTTTGTTAATAAACGAATTTCGAATCGATACCTTAATTCTGTCAGGAAGTGGAAAATATTCTCTGCAGGTGCTTCTTAGATTTGCCAAATAACACATGATTAGTTGTACTTCCTCATTTGGAAGTGTATCTTCAGGCATGTTTAAAAATGTCGACAAGTTTTGAAATGATTCCACATTTCCGCTTTTGAGTTGATTCTCCCATAATTTCAGTTTCAAAATAGTTGGAAACAATTTACATTTTCACCTTGTAATATTACATTCAAATCATTGAGATGAGTAAAGATGTCGGATAAGTACGCCAGTTTGATAAGAAATGTAGAATTATTTAAATTTTCTGGAGATAATTTAGCGATGAGATTGGAAACATTATTCTTCCATTAAAAATACATTGACTTCTTTATGTAATTCCCAAAGTCGACCCAGTGCAACCAAGGTGATACACGAACTCTTTGTATTAATTGATCTTTTATGTTTTCTGCCATACTTTGAATTCTTCTTTGCACTGTATTGTTTGACAACGGAAGTTGTGTAATTCCTTTGGCAGCTTTATCGCTAATTATTGCAGACACCATAATTTTTGCTGCTGGTAATATGAGATCTTCTCTCTGAGGTGTACCTTTTTGAGCTATTAATTGACATACCTTAAAGGAGGCCATTATGGCTGAATTGTTTGAAGCTGATATGGCAATGTGGGACACGCTTCTTTGAATGTTCTTTAATTGTTGTTCTTTCTTTTTAAAAAAAATCCGTGTTTTTTTGCTGAAACTCTGGGTGCTTTGTTTCAAACTGGTGTCTTAACTTAGCTGGTTTCATAGAATCATTTGCTAGAACCTGGCTGTAAATAACACACTGCTTTTGCAGGACAGAAATTTTGTAAAACCATAGGACACCATAGGAACCTCTTGACAGGAAGTTTTACAAAGGAAGTTACAAACAAAACTGGATCTAAAAAAAGTATTCTTTCATTTCGAATTAAAACTGACTTTTCTACATGGAATTTGAGTAACGTTATCTGTTGTTTCATTACCCTGTATAATAAAAAAGTAAAAATGTATTCGCCTTTGTAACATCTACTCACCAAATATTGCTTGAAAAAATGTTAATATTGAGTTTGGTTACTTAATTTCTTCTTTAAACGATTTTTGCGAACCTTCACTAAGAACACGAACACTTATAGATGTAAAAGAAGATGTAAAGAGTTAAAAAACAAAATAGGAAACTTAAAAAATCCCCCAAATGAGTAATATTACCAAACTCCATACCAAAAATGTCCTAGAAAACGTTACACATTTCTTCTGAGAGTAATATACAGGGTAATTCAAATTCGACCCCCACCGTTGGGATCACAGAAACCATAAGAGATACAGAAATGGTTAAATGGGGGCAAAGTTGCGTATCTTAGAGCTCATCATTTTCAACTAAGTTTTTGTAGTATTTTCAACTATCTTTTTCGATTTTTGCCTATAACTTCTTTATTTTTCGTCTTTTCGTGAATCTGAAAAACATTCTTAAGGCAACTTTTTATGAAAAATGTCATGACACAACTAGAAATTTTCCCCGACGTTTCGTTTTCGTCTATCATCAGGTTTATTTTATCTTATGAACGCCATATTTGATTTTCACACCAAAAAATAGGATAATTAATTATGATTTCAATGATATGTCTATTATACAATGTATTTCATTTAAAAAAACATTGAAAAACAAAACCAGATGATAGTTGTGTCATGATATTTTTCATAAAAAGTTGCCTTAAGAATGTTTTTTTTCAGATTCACGAAAAATAAATAACTTATAGGCAAAAAAAGAAAATCATTTTATTGTTTTTCGGCCATATTTTAAAAACTAAAATGGCTACATCCAAAAACTTAGTTGAAAAATGATGAGCTCTATGATACGCAACTTTGCCCTCATTTAATCACGTATGGTTTCTGAGATCCCAATGGTGGGGGTCGAATTTGAATTAACCTGTATAATTAATCTTTAATATAATCTATGTATGCAATTAGTTAATTTCGTGTACTTTAAATTTTTACTTTTTTGTAATTTATTTGCCTACAATATTTTTCACAACTGCGCCGTGGACCCCCAGTATTGTAGCAGTGAACCCCTAGGGGACCAGACACCCCTTATTGGGAATCGCTGTATTAGAGTAATAGAAGAATGTTAAATTTTTTAAAAGAAATGAGAAACATAATTTTTAACACATATGATTTTCATTAAGCTAAAAATTATTAGCCTTATATTCACAATTATTTTTATTGTACACAGTAAGTTGTTATTAAATTTACATTTAGATATAGAGTAATTAACGCTTTACGACAATTTAACTTAACTTGGCATTATGGCAAACCAAACACAATGTTTAGCATAAAATTCGAATACAATTTTGAACATTGGTATAAGTTGTTAAAGCATCAATAGTCGTTCTCTTGAAACTAGGTCCATACCATCCAGATGAGGCCACAAGAACAGCCTCATTAAAAAAAAATACAGTCCAATGCACAAAAGCCTCATTAAACAGTATCAAATACATATATATACTCCTGGGGAGTATATTTGTTTCTGATGAGTTTCTAGGTCAGCTGAATTTTGCAGGAATGATAAATTGATGTCCCTGGGTTTTCGGCGACACTATCGTTTACGGCAGCGATTATCGTTCTTCGAATCTTTAGCACATTTGGTGCACTTCTACGACCGAAAACTCCGCGAAACATACGAGCGGTTTCAATGACTTTTCACATTGATAACGCGTTGTTCCTTTGTTATATGATTATTAATATATTAGTTATAGCTATTAGTTCAACTATCATTATAATTGGTCTAATTGTAAATAAAATTCGAAAATTGGAAATGAAATAAAAATAATTTTATATAAATCTAAATACTTACTAATTAGGTATGTAGACTTGTTTCAATTTTGATTCAGCTTCAACAGCTTTGACACGCTTCTGTTGCACATACCGATCCGTAGTCTTCCACATATAATAATACTCGATAACATTTTTAAGGGTTTTCCACGGCAAAAAGTCCTGTCGTATATCATTGAAGTCTTTCCCATATTTATCTAGAGCCTCCTCGAAAAGGTTAGCCTCGGAAGCGCTCCACTCCTCCATCTCGTCGCGACATAGTACCGGTCCGCTGGACGGCACCAGGGAGCAAAGGGCCCGGGCCAAATCGTAGCCGTGAGCATGCAACGCGTCCATCGCGTGAAAAAGGGTAACGTCCCGACTCGCCGCCGCGGCCGACATGTGCAGCGACGGCTGTTTAACGCTCGAACTGCAGTCGAGGGCGCGCGCGAACGTCCCCACGGAGCGCGAAACGACAAGAAACTGGTCGATCTGACGATCGGTGAGGTCGTGTTCAGGCGTCCAAACAAGACTCTCAAGTTCGGCAAGTTCGCGACCGTCCGTTTCGCCCTCTTTTAATATCGACGTGATGTCGCACTGGTAACGGCTGCCGACTCGGATCTCACCCTTGTCCGCCAGCAGGGTCTTTTGGGTTGGATCGTAGACGAGACAGTAAAAGAAGCTGTCGTCCTTGCTCAAGTAGGAGCCGAGCGATTCCGTTTCGTTGAAGAGCGTCACCGAACACTTACCGCGGATGTGAGTCGCAGGCAGGTTTTCGACCTGGCGCGATAGAAACAGTTCGCGATGCTTCATCTGGTGTCGTTGCTTCGAGGACATTCCGTAGTCGGGAGCGCGGCAAGCTGTCGTCGTTATCGTTGTAGCGACGACCTGGCCACCGGACGAATCGCTACCGGGACTTCCAACGTTCGTTTCTTCCGATGCTCCTCCATAAACTACTAGAAACACATAATCATTTACTTTTTTTGATACAAGTACAAATTCCATCAATAACAAATTATTATAACCAGTAATACAACTTTTAATTGTTTTAATAGACACTTTTTATCGTTTTCTTATTTCAGAAAAAAATTTTATAAATTCAAATTGAATCTACACTACTATTCAAAGAAAAATCGATAGAAAAACCGTTATCGGTAAGCCGATAAGATATTAACTTTTTTTTTTAATTTTGGCAAAGAATTTGAACTCGCTATGCACGTGAGATAAGAATAAAAACCGCTGCTTCTGTATGATTAATAAATTAATAGAAACAGCAACACAGCTAAATATGCGCTAATCGATATGAGTACATTTTGAATTACAAATCGTTCTTAAAACAATTTTTTTTTACTTCCCTGCTATCTATACATGTTTGTATTCTTTTGGTTCTAGATAATAACTCAAATTATAAATCAAATTAAAACTCTAATATATTGAGTCATAAAATCTGATGCAATCTATAACATAATAAAAAAATATGACATAACATGTTGAACATAAACTCAACTATCTTGATACTTTTGTAATGTTGTGTATGTTGTATATCATATATTATTATCAAAGAGTATCTGCGACTAATCCTCTTCGTAATTTCTTCTTGGCTTTAATAATGCAACGCACTTTGCAAATATTAAAAATTGCCAATTACTTCAAACTTTGGCACACAGAGATTCCCAACTTGACATTCATTATGAATGAAGAGCGGCTTAAATTCTTCAATCTTGTGTGTATTACATCTAAATCCGAAAGATTTCCAATAAAAATGGGAATACTTGAAAAGTCAAATTTGTAAATCTAAATCAAATTTTACAGAGTTAAGATAACAAATCATGGAGGATTGCAATAGACGTATCGATTAAAGTACTGCTAAATTAACAATGGAGAATATTTAGAAGTACTCTGGAAGTACCAAGTGGAAAGCTTCAATGTATAATGCGTTTTCAGTTGATTTAATGTTGCATAACACATTTAATCCCATTATAATATAGATCATAATGGTTACCTTATGGTTAAATCCTTTTTGTTGTAATATCGCTTCCCCCACATTTATTACATGTGAAAGTGTTTTATACTTGATTTATTTTAAAAAACAGGCCGTTAGTGCAGTACAACTTCTTAGCAGATGTAGTGGTCGAAAATTTTTAAACTTTTTCGCAAATTCAACACTTAAGGCCAACAAAACACCACGACAAAAAAATAAGTAATCGACTGTAGATATTATACACATCTACGCAGTAATATTTGATCAACCCATAAACTTACGTACAAATGTTCAGCAGAGTGATGGCAATATATCTTTAGCATTAAGGAGACCTAAGGATCTCAAGGCAAAGCCAAAAAGTTGTTAGTAGATCACCATCATACTTTATAGATGTACAAGTTGTGAATAATATCCTTATACATCTTTAGAAACTTCCCAACAAAGATTTGCTATTTTATTGCAATGCCTCCGTTTTGATAATATAGAAAATAGAGCCAAGAAAATTTTTTTAAAATTCTTACTGTATATAAAATATTGGATCAATATTGATGATTTCCAATACATTCTAAACAAACCTAATAAGCACAGATTAAAACTGTATGTTGTAGTAGACGAGAAAATCTTTAAACAAAATCAAAAAGATCATGGGGTGATATACCCTACTATATCACTTGTCAATAACGCAGACGTTCCTTGATTTAAAGTCCAACATTGAGGAGGTAGGACTATTAATAAATCAGAAAAAAAAACCGAATATATGAAGATGTCAAGAAGGGGAACGGATGTCGGGGAGGAATTTGGAGACGGGAAAAGTAGATTTAAGACGACGGATGAGTTTACATACTTGGGATCACTAGTTAGGGAGAGTAATTCTGTAAGTAATGAAAAAAGGACTAGAATAGGAAAGGTTAATAAAGCTTATTTCGCAAAGAAGAAACTGATGTGTTCTAATATACTAAGTCACAGCTCTAAAATGAGAACATATAACAGTTTAATAAGACCAGTGTTACAAAGAAGTGGAAGATCTAAAAAATTTAGAAAGAAGAACACTGAGAAGGATGTTTGGTCCGGTACAAGAACTAGATGAAATATGGAGAACTCGAATGAATTTTGAACTCAATGCCCTGGTTGATGATAAGATTTGTTAAATCTCAGCGAATTAGATGGCTGGGACACATAAAAAGAATGGACGACGATAGAAGAGCAAAAATCCTAACAGAATGGAAACCAACAGAGAAAAGACCTCGTAAAAGATGGTTGGACGACGCGAAGGATGACTTGAGAGCAATGGGACTCTCTACCAGTCTCTCACTCCCATTGCCCAGTGGCTAGGAGTAAACGGGAATGGCGTAGAATTGTTGAGGGGGCCAAAACCCACCAAGGGTTGTAGAACCAAAAGAAGAAGAAGACTATGTATATCACTTGTGATTTTAATTCACCAAAGTGACGTATCAAATCAAATATCAATGGCAGTTGCAATTTTCTAAGTCAACTTTAAAATGTATTTAGTATGTCCAAGTTATTTTCCAATTTCTCAGAAATCTGTCAAAAAAATCTTAATTAGTTATCTTGTTTTAAAAAGTCTTTATCTTATTATCATTTTATAATCATGGATGAAGATGGACTTTGAATCAAAATATGTAGTAACGGATTTAACAAAATATAACATAATTTTCCTCGCCGTTATCTCCGGATTTTTATTTAATAGATTCTTCGGTTATCATTAAAAAAAAATGATTGTTAAAAATAGCATGTTTTGTTGAATCACATCATATTATGTGCAAGTTAATTTTAAAACATCCTGTATAACCAAAAAGTTACCACTATACATGATATGATAGTAACCAATTAACGAGTCACATTAAGCATTAACAACAAAAAATTGCCAATAATTAAAATATTGCTACGGAAACTGAATAAAAACCTGATTAAAGTCTCGCAAATAATTATTCGAAAAGTACAGTCAACTCGAAAGAAGAACACGCGTTTCCAAGTTGTCATGGCAACCGGTCAGATAAAGTACAGCTTCATCAAGATTTCGCGAAACACAGGCCGATCAGCGGCAAAGTATAACGAACGTTCGTCCGTATTATATCGATCGTCCAATTAAAGAATTTGCGCACATTTCCCGAATATTCACCAAATTTTTTTGTTGTTGTTCGGTTTTGTGTTTTTAATTTAAAAACGAAACTTATCAAATAATTTTCGGAAACGGTTTATTCTAGTTAGTTTTCGTACTTACGTTGATGTTTATCCGCTAATTGGACCAACGACGACGGCAAATCTCTCCGCCTATAAAAACACATCACCTTCGCCTCGACGTTTCCGGTAGCGGTTTTGTTCAGCTCCTCTATCCGACGAATTTGGTACGGAGCCGTCGATGTTGACTCGAAGTAGACGTAATCTACAAACGGTTATGTATTTTGACATAATAGAAACCTACGTTGGTTTCGTTGCCGCCGCCGAATACAGTTATTATTCTGCTTGGTACAACTACTATTCGGCGCGCTTACTTTCAAATATACACGCCAAAATCAAAACATTACAATTTCCCACCGGTCATTGTTGTAATTTTTTTTTAAATCCTCTCAAATTCGGTTAGACCGAACGCAAAGGTTGTAAGATAGACGGTGGCACACACGCAGCATATAGTATCTATCCCAACCGCAAAATTATACATGCTGGATTTTATTTGGTGGCTTAAACTACTCACCTCCGACTCTGTACATGTTAGCTGTCATCTTGGATATTCGATCCGATAATCATCAGAGTTCCTTTAGAAAACACATAGCTTTTTTTACGACACTCGAACGATCATAGTTTTGTCACACAACACACCACCAAGCCAATCGCCGCCATTTTCTTGATCCTGTTGGCGTCTCACTTCGGATTGGCTGAAAACGAATAAACTACACAAACATCCGACAGCGCCGCATTATTTTAATACGGCTAAAATTAAAACTATTTATTTATTCTCCCTACTTTACAATAGATGACACTATATCAAAAAAAAATGTAAAAAAAATTATTTTTTTTTAAATAATAAAAAATTATAATAAAACAAAAATTAATAATTAATTTTACTTTTAAAACAAATTTTACATAAAGTCAAAGTCAATAATTATACAAAGAGGAACAAAAGTTTAGAAACGCATAATTTACTCCAGGCTATATTACTCATTTAAATTCAGATTTATACGGGCTGTTTCTAAATTGATGCGAAAGATTTCAAGGACTGATTTTCCAGCAAAAATTAATATAAATATAACTTTTTGTTCAAATTCCCTTCTCCACCAAGTTACGGCACTCTGAAGGTAGGCGAAAAAATCCACTATGGAGGAATTCAGAAGAATGAAATTTGACAGATAAAATGACACTTTTTGACGATTTTTATAAGCCGAAAATGTGCAAGGAGCTGAAAAAATCAACCCCTATAATACTTTGCATCAGAACTTTTTAATGCATCTACATTTTTCAATTTAAAAACTTGACTTAAGTACTAAGGGATTCAATACGCAACTTTTTTGTCTCTTGACATTTTCTCCTAAAATTGTATTAGGATTAATTAGTTTGATCACAAAAAAATAAAATAACACACAGGCTCAAGTAAATTAATTCAGAGATTGGTTATAATTAGTCAAAAAAATGAAGTTATGTCAAATTGATCTCAGCATTATTTTATTTTTTATTAGTTGTAAAATGTCAAGACATAATAAAGTTGCAGATTTAACTTGGAGGAGCAGGAGTTTTGAACAAAAAATTATATGAAAGACACCCATTAATTTTCGCTGAAAAATCATCCCTTGAAATCTTTCGCATCAATTTGAAACATTCTGTATATTACTAATAATGTGTAGCCAAAGTCGCATAAAATTTGGTATATGCTCATTGTGGACACGGATTGGAGTCATATTGTATATAATTTCATTGTTTAAATTTATCCATCAATACAAGTTCAACCACATGTAGTACTTGAGAATAGATCTAATGAGAAAGAATGTTAAGCACAAACTGACTTAAACTATTCCTATTGGTATTCTGGGAAATAGGTAACAATATCCGTTCTGCTTGATTCTAGCTGATTTACAACAGTAAATGGTACTGAGCGGTCTAACTCAATTCCAGTTCACGAACAATCTTCTACCGTTTGTTGCATCATACTGCAAATGCAGTGTAAGATGTAATCAGATGTAATCCATCTTCAATCATCACTGTAAAGAAGAATGGATGATTTCAAAGGTTTTTGCATTGTATACTGATAGCAGACAACCTGTTTTAACTCTGAGTATGGCTAAATTAATTTCCGCCGAATTAATAATGAACTGGCATTTGTGCCTTGAAGAGGCAACAGAAGCATGAAAATTGCATTACATAAATTATATATCGGGTAGGCGGACCAACCAACCTTGCACCGCAACCTCAAAGATGTATTGTCCACCGCTAGATAACATTATCAAATTTCGTCGTGCAGTCCTATGCTCTTAATGAACATTAATGCCTTGTTCAGTGAAATCATTCAAATCCTTTGGGAAGATAAACTGCAACCCAAAAATCGAGAATCTGATACGATTAACAGCAGGGCAGTGGCATAAAACATGCTCAACCGTCTCCTTGTCCTCCACGCATATTCGGCATTCAACATCGTCGGCTAGGACCAACAAGCTAATGCTGCAAGTCCTAAAATATTCCCGGGTTTGACAGTGGCGATATTGATAAACAACTTACACAGTAGGCGAAGTCTCTTTTTAGCCCATAGTCCAATCCTATGTTTATCCATCGCAAATGATGTACCTACCAACTGCTGGATCTGGCCCCACAACGCTTTACCGCTGCCCTGTCGTGCTAGCTTATCTGCCGCATCATTGCCAGCAAATTCTAATAACATTCTTTTACAGTCATTAACCGAAGCCGACACCGTTTTCACGGCCTGCAACGCCTGGAAAGCTTGACTGTTATGTTCTTCACATTTCTCACAAGAAGGATTTTAGCACCCATGTCAATAGTAAATACTTCCGCCTGGATACAGTACAGTACGTCTCCAGGCTGTAAGCTTGCTTAATCCGAGGTGTCTGGCAGTATACTCCTGCCCCGACCCCTTCTGGTGTTCTTGATCCATCTGTGAACATGCAAATATTTATCAAACAAAACTTATCAAACAAAATTTATCAAGCTAAATTTACCAAACGAGACATACCAAACAAAATAGAACATAAGCAATTAGTACAATTATTACAAGACATTATTCAGAAAGGGTTAAAAATCTTATCGTTGCAACGATGAGATTTACAATGGGCTTTTTCTGTCCAACTTCTTTCTTTCTGGTTTCGGTGTCTGAACCTTTCCACTGAAATCCACCCTAGGAACTCATACTCTAATTCATGATCGACTCAATCCTCTTCTCGAACTCTTCTTTGTTTCTTTCATCAACTGGGTCTCTCCCAATTGATCCAGGACTGACTCTCCAGATCTTCTCACCAAACTTCCATAATTAAGACCTTCTCTCTGAATTCTCTCTCGGACTCCAAGATAGACTTCCAAGAAACTGCTCCAAGGAACTCTCTTGTTCTGCTTCCCGTCTGAGATTTTAAACCCTCCCGCACCGATCACGTCAAATCTGACGGCATTGATAGCACAATATCAATGCTCCTAGTGTTTTTCGCAGTCCATTGGTAGGACATGTCGGAGCAGTTTTTAGCATATTGCTTAAATCTATAAATGGTAATTCTGGCAACTTTCTCTATATGCAAATACAAAGGAGATAGGCCAAGCAGAACATCCTTTGCTAGAGTTAGCGTTATGCTTATCACACCAAAGATTGCTAATCCAGCTACTCGTTGAATTCATAAAAATTTATTGATAATTGAAGTCTCTCAAGCTGCCGCTCAGATCCGTTCGATCAGGCTGCCGCTCCATATGTAATCATAGGTCTAACCACATTCAAATAGAGCAAAGAATCATGTAACATTTCAATGAAATAAAGAAAATTCAACTTGAATTCAAAATTTAAAAAGGCTTGGTCTTACTATCGATTACAGAAAATATAAATTAAAGCATCAACTGCAGCGCTTAATAATCAATAGTTTGATATCATTTTAGTTACAAAAATCATAATAACTCGAATCACTCTGTATATTTCTCATCTCATTTATTTATTTTTTTTTGCTTCAATCAATTAAAGTTGTTTTTTTTTAATACATCCATATAAACCATTTATGAAAACCACTTGAAATAATTTTTTTGAAACTAAATGCTTGTATTCAAGTTTCAAGTAATATGTGCCATGTGTGTGGTGGTATGGTGAAGGTTGGTTTTTGTAACGTCACGTGACAGCTGTTTGGGGCGCTGATTGACCGTCGCAGTTCGTGACAGTCCGATGGCACAAAACATACTCTACTAAAGAAGTGAATACATATTTAGTTGTGTTATTTAAAACGGGATATTAAAAAGTTTAATAAACGGCAAATTTATTAAATACGATTTTTAAATAAACGTTAAGTCGTTATCGTAAATACTTGAAAAATTAACCTTTCGTGATAATATTTGTAATGAATGACGAAAAGTTAAGAGAGTAAATAGTACAGTTGACACTCGAAGATTATAAATAAACAGCGTTCGTTGGATTTGCGGAAAACTTATCGTTTAGATAAGTTTTGTTGTTTAGTTTTCGATATATATTAATTCAGACAACCCTATGTTTGGTGTGCTGAAAGATAAATGGACACCAACTGAAGGTACTGTTTAGGACCATTGTTTTATAAATCAATAGTGGGGTCACGTTTTTATTTCTACTTTTCTTTTACGGGTTTTATACCTTTTCAAAACATGGTATATAATACGAAATAACTAAATATATTTTTTTAAAATGAAAGAATTAATCCTGTTGGTGCTGCTGTGCTTATGGACTATCGGAGATTGTTTTGAGTCAAATATGAATCCTCCGCTAAGGGTTTGTGTACAACATACTGGATCTGTGTCTAGAGTTGTTGATGATGAAGATAATTTAAATAACACTAATTTAAATAATAACATAGATGTATGTCCCAGAGAATCTAATCATTGTTATACTCTTTGGACGGAAGATGCTGTTAATGGTACTCAAATTATTATGGGTCAAGGTAAATGAAATATTTACAAATTATTTAATTTTGATGTTTTGTTTTATACAGGCGTTTAAGAAGTATATAATCAATCTTCCAGGTTAGGTCTTTTTATTGACATAAATTTAACATGGAATTTTCTCTCTTCATGTTCTTAAAATTAATTCCTTCTAAAGTCCTTCCTTTAGACATGAGCATAAATTTTGTCTTATCCTTGTTAATATAGAATCCACCCAACCTCGACTCCCAGGAAATAGATAAATTCATTTTATTGTGACGTAGATTTGAGTTACCTTTAGTTTTAAAACATCAAACTATACTACAATATGCAGTATCTAGTATCTATCTATATAAGCAATATCAGTATCAACCCAACTAGCAGTTTCTTATTTTATTAAAGTTGTAAAAACGTTTCTGTTATAAATTTTATATAACACATTCAGTCTCAGTAATGCAATAAAAATGTTTATAAAACAACTATAGCACCAAACACAATTTAGGTAATATATTAGCCTCCTTCAATTATTATATTATATTATAGCTGTGTTTTGATCTACTATAAAATAGTTATATAAACAAATCTTTATATAATAATTTTATAAATGTTGTACAAGTGTGTTACAAAATGCGTTATAAACTAAAATAGAATATTTATAAAATAATTAAATAACTGTTTTATGATAAAGTAATATGATCACTATTCCAAAATAATGCAAACTAGTGTGATACTCTGTATCCTTTCAGTGACATAAAACGTCTAAACCACGAACAGCTCTATGAACTTCAGAAGGCATTTTGCAGTTCAGCAAGGAAATTTGAAACACAAACAATTTACCTTGCAGACCATTTATTTCTATAGTTGCCAAAACTACCATCTCTCCAAGGCAATAAACACTCCTTCATTATGCCTAAATTAATTAAATGAAGAGAAGCACTAATTGGAAAGTCTTCAATCATATCTATATCTAGTGGGGTTAATGGTAGCATCTGTTCTTTTCTTGCATCCTGATATTGGAAAATAGACTGTATGAGATTTTTTGAAAAACCCCTTTGTTTCGGGCGAACAAAATTTGCGACAGTAACAACATTTTATTATCAAAAAGTACATGTAAAGTTGCTCAATCTACAATAAATGTTCAAAATGCCTTCTTCCATCCTGAATACAAGCATTCAATCTTCTCGTCATTTACTGCCTCTTTCAAACACACCAGGGTCGTTCCTAATTGAGTTACACCCAGCAATTATCCGATTTCGCAAATCTTCTAAATTGTTCATTGGAGTAGCGTAAACTAATGACTTCAGAAATCCCCAGAAAAAATAAACCAGGGGTTTGATTCTGGGGATCGAGCAGGCCATGCGTGTTGTCCACCTCGACCAATTCAGCAATTTCAAGAATCATCATAAGACACAATATTCTTAGAATAGGCCAAAGAATAACCCCTTGAATTTTTGCCGCATGTTTACCTAACACCCTGTATAAGAATAATCACCTATTGTGGTACATTTAAGGCATCCTTGTTTGCTATCAAAGTTTGCATCACCTGCACAAAAATATATTTTAACATAAAAAAGTAAATTGTTAAGTCTTACCTTTCACAAATGCTCTAGCAGGTGAATCGCATATAAAGCATCTTAATTTCCCTGTAACTTTCTTATTATCGATTATTAAACCTTTTGATAATATTACCTTTGCTTCTTCTGCAAAAAGTTGTAAATCAGCGGTTTGTTTTCCTTTGCCACAATAAATACCAATGATCATTGGTCGCACTTCAGGCAATTCATGAATATTGAATAATATCGGCCAAAATGCACTTCTACTACTTTTGTATATAGACAATCCATCCATATTAATATTAACAGAAATATAAGCTGGAGAGTCTGACATTTGAGAAAGAATTTTATTTAATGCACATTTAAACCATTAAATGCTCATTCCCTACTTTTATCATCGTAAGTTTGATAAGTTTTTAACAAAGTCCTGGGATGTTGAGGAAGTACAATTGGAAATTTCTGATTTATAATTTGCAAGAGGTCTGTTAGTGCTGAGTGAGGTATACGATGTTGAACTGCCCATTTTCTTATATTACGTCTAAATGTTACCTTTCTATTGAGCTCTAATGCTTCTAAATCACTGTTTTCGTTAGATCCTAGTTCAATTAACCTACTACTTTCGGTTGCCTTGACTATTTGATCTTCAGTTTTGTTAATACACTATAAAAAAATTAAAATTATTATTTTATAATAATAATTATTTGAAACGTTAAAATTTCAAAAAACGTCAATTTAATTTAATTTTTTAGGAGTTTCTAAAGGTTTAACATTAAAAAAACCTAAACAAATTCCTTTTTTCGTATGATTTAGCATAAATTAATTAATTTTCGTAAAAAAATGACGTTTTATAAAATTGACATTTAATTTTGACAAATTGTTGTGAAGTTAGTAACATTGAGGTTGTCACATTGACGTTTAAACTTTATTCAAAAATTTATTTAAAAACTTAGGAATAATTCTAGAATAGCAGTCTGTCTTAAAAATCATTAAATTATGGAATCAATTTCAATAGTCGTGGACAAAGTATAGTATTCTACTCATATATTATATAATGAGCTATTATTAACTCGCTACGCTCGTGACATAAACTTAACCTTAGTGAATAATAGCCCTCATTATATGCTCATATAATAATATACTATAATTTAAGTTTTTATTATCGTTTCGTTTATTAATATGAAATTGTTTTTTAAGGTTGCTGGAAAGTTGCGAGTAAACCCCACGATTGTCAACACAATAAATGCGTTTCCGACAACCGAAATTCTCAAGCATCTCCGCTCCCCATGACGAAATTCTGTTGCTGTTCCGGCGACATGTGCAACGAAAATTTCACTGCACTTCCAATTAACACTCAAAACATCATCGAGAACCCCCCACCGGAACAAGCGATTGATCAAACCTTAAAACCCATAATTTGGATATCATCCGGAATATTCTCGATGCTTTCTATGTTAATCGTTGCTTCGATCTACTTATGCTGGAGTGCCAAAAGAACTCAAAAAGCCGACGTGGAACTTGGCCAACATTCGCCGCCTTCTTCCCCAGAATATTGTTTGGATAAATTGGTTTTAGTGAAAAATATAGGGCAAGGTCGTTATGGAAGTGTTTGGCGAGGGGTTACTGAAGACCACGAAGTCGCCGTGAAAGTATTTCCGGCTCACCATCGTAATTATTTCGTGAATGAACGGGAAATGTACAAAGAGGCTATGAGCCATGTGGCGTTGTTGAAGTGTTTGGGAGGAGGAGAACGTATCACTCCATGTGGATCTACTGACTACCTCTTAATTTTAAGCTTAGAAAAAGAGTGCCTACAAGAATATCTTAAACGTAATACTCTCGACTTAAACACTTTATGCAAAATGAGTCTTTCAGTAGCTAAAGGACTTGCACATTTACATTCAGATCTTTATAAATCGTGTATTGTACATAGAGATCTTAATTCAAGAAATATTTTAGTTAAATATGATTTATCTTGTTGTATTTGTGATTTAGGTAGGTTGAAGATTTTTTTTTAAATTAATCTTACTAAATAAATTAATTGTTTAGGTTTGGCTGTTATTCCGCGCAAAACTGAAAATAAATCATTAAGCGAGGCTGGAACTTTACGTTATATGGCACCGGAAGTGCTTGAAGGAGCGGTTAATTTAAGAGATTGTGAAAGCGCTTTAAAACAAATCGACGTTTACGCTTTGGGTTTAGTGTTATGGGAGTTGGGGATAAGATGTACTGACATGCAATTAACTGAGCCCCCTCCATATAATCCTCCGTTTCATAAAGAAGCCGGCGATAATCCATCTCTTGAACAAATGCAAGCGTTGGTTAGTCGAAGAAAAGCTCGACCATTGTGGCCAACGTCATGGAAAGATACTGCGTCAGCTAGATTGTTGTGTGAAACCGCTGAAGATTGTTGGGATCAAGATGCGGAAGCTCGTTTGACTTCGCTTTGTGTTGTGGAAAGATTTTTAGAGTTACCAGCGTTAAAAGGAAGGGTGTTACACCCGATGAGACCTCCAGTTAGTCCTACCCCATTAATAAACAATAACCATCTTCATGAACACAGTATGAATTTATCTGTAGGAACTGTAGAAACGCTTCTTTCTCCCTCCGAAGAAAATTTTAAAAATTCTAATCAATTAGTGGTTTGTTCCTCTCCAATTCAACCCTACCAAGGAAGAAATCCTTGCATGGAAAGGAACTTATTAACAAGTTCAATAGATAGTTTACTTATTGATAAGTCGTCAAAACATTGTACCAGTTCCGAATCTCAGAATTTAATTGCAAACGATTATTTAAATTACCAAGTAAACCATCGAGCGGCACCGATTTCATACGTTCAAAACGCCGTTTATAGTACATCCGAGGAAAAAGTAAATGTTCCGCAAAGAAAAAAACTAAAATGGTCCAATATAAGAAATTTATTTATGAATAGAGGCGAGAAAAATCATTTTACAATTCGTAAGGACACTCAAGTAAAGGTGGTCCCTTCAAAATTAACAAATAGTTTTGGCCAAAATGGCGTTACAACTTCCTTATTAAAACGAACGGACACAAAGCGGCCTTCTACTTTACCACTACAACACAACACCGATACGAAATGTAATCAATCGGGAATTCGACAAGTTTTAAAATGCCGCAAAAATAGTTTAACGAAGCAACGTTCGTTAGAACAATTCGCGGAAGTTTTTACGTCCACGTCGGATCTGTCAAGACTAAAAGATCCTGCTCAAAGAATTAAAACTCCAGGAGATGTACCACCTTCTGTTCGTCGGACGAGAGGAAAAGCAGCTAAAGATTCCGCACGATTTTCTTTGTACGACGACCGAATGATGAGTCAAGGGCAATGGGGAAGCGCACCAAATTTGGAACCAGAAGAACAAGCTAAACCATTACAAATCAGTGATATATACGATAGAGATAGCGTGAGTAGTTTTTAAAGAAATTATAAAGATGTACTTAAAACAAGAAAGTTTGTAGTTAAGATTTATGGCTTAGATTGTGTAAGTGATGGCGTTTACCAAAGATTATTTGTTTTTTTTTTTCTATTTTATTTTTTATTTATTTGCCTTAAGTTGAACAAATTGAACAAGATGTATTGTTAAACCAAAAAGATGTTAATGTAGGATTTGTTTTGATTATTAGTAATTTGTAAATATTTTAATTATTTATACAATTCATAATATTATATAAATATTGTATGTATAAACAATAATGGCAATTAATAAATAAAATTGTTTGCAAATATATATGTATTCAAATAAGATGGCTTTTTATTTTGAATACAAAAAAATTAAATGTAGGTTTATAGGATAGCTTAATATACAGTGAATTTCACTTCAGATGCAATATACAAAAATATATTTCCATAGAAAATAGGGTAGGTAAGTAGGTACTTACTTTGTTCTACATAAAATTCAACATTTTAATATAATTTGACATTTTATAAAACTAGAACTAACACTAGACCTAGAGTGGTTGGTAGGTGGCTAGTTAACATAAAATATCACTATGTTGCATACATATGTTTATTGCACTAAAACTAGAACTAACACTAGACCTACAACTAGAAAGTTTCGGGTTTAGCCGTCTTGAGAGACGTGCGGCTAAACCCGAATATTTCTAGTTGTAGGTCTAGTGTTAGTCCTAGTTTTGCACTATTACTAGAACTAACACAAGACCCAGAATTAGAATCATTCGGCTTTAGCCGTCTTGAGAGACGTGCGGCTAAATCCAAATGTTTCCAGTTCTAGATCTAGTGTTAGTTCTAGTTTTGCACTATCACTAGAACTAACACAAGAGTTAGAACTAGAATCATTCGGGTTTAGCCGTCTTAAGAGACGTGCGGCTAAATCCGAATATTTCTTGTCCTACGTCTATTGTTAGTTCTAGTTTTGCACTATCATTAGAACTAACACCAGACCTAGAACTAGAATCATTCGGGTTTGGCCGTCTTGAGAGACGTGCGGCTTAATCCGAATGTTTCTAATTCTAGTGTTAGTTCTAGTTTTACACTTGCACTGTCACTAGAACTAATACTATACCTAGAACTAGAATCATTCGGGTTTAGCCGTCTTTACAGACGTGCGGCTAAACCCAAATGATTCTAGTTTCATTCTAGAATCTTTCATTCTAGTTCACATAATAACAGTGCTAGTGCAAAACTAGAACCTACACAAGACCTAGAACTAGAATCATTCGGATTTACTCGTATTGAGAGACATGCCACAAAATCCGAATGTTTCTAGTTCTAGGTCTAGTGTTAGTTCTAGTTTTAATTGTTATTCAGCATGAGATTGTAGTATATTTTTATTGAATGAAAAGTAGAACTAACAACAGACCTAGAACCAAAAACATTCAGGTTTAGCCATGCTTCTCTTAAGACGGAAACTCAGAGTTATCATAAGAACGTCACCTTTGCAAAACTACCCAATGCCTATGCTATTAAGCTATGTTCCATTTTATGTGGGACAGTGCAAGTACAATAAATGCAATAAATTTAAAAAAATTTCTTTATTAAACTCAACATTAATTAAATACATTTTTAAACAATTACTTACATTACATAATTTTCATATTTTTTATATTCATCAGAAGTAATACTGGCGCGACTTTCCTTTAAAGCCTCTAACACATCAGCTTCTGTTGTTTCAGGTAATTGAATACTGTTTGGTGGCAACTCATCGATTTTACACGTCTTTATATCTTCCCAAACCCCATCATAATTATTATTAGGCGTGTATGGAACATACATTTCGTCTTTTAATTTAATCCAAACGTGTATATGTTGCAATCGTTCAATCGACTTAACCAGTGCGTGACCAATAAATCTTTCAATGTCCGAACCGGAATATCCTTCGGTTTGGTGCACTATAGTTTCCAATAAATGTTCAAATTTTTCCAACGGCGTGCTACGCGTAAATAATTTAAAAATTTCGTATCGTTCGCAGGGATTTGGTAATGGAACAAATAAGTGTCGTTGAAAACGTCTTTTAAACGCAACGTCTAATTGCCAAGGACAATTTGTTGCGCATATTAAGTAGACATGTGGTATTTCGGTGAAGGTGGAAAGTTGACATAAAAATTCTGTTTTCACTCTGAATCCAAAAAATAAGTCATAAAATAATAAAAAAATAACAAAAAATCAGTACCTCCTAGAATGATCTGCTTCATTTTCCTTTCTACTTCGACACAAAGAATCAATTTCATCTATAAATAAAATTGTAGGCTCCCCACTAGTTTTGATTTGATTAAAAGTTTTTGCTATAAACCTAAAAAACATCGTAAATATATTTTTTTAATTTTTATTTATCATACTTTTCTGATTCTCCAACATAAGGTGACAGAATATCACTGCTGGAAATTGATATTAATTTAGCACCAGCTTCCGCAGCGGTTGCTAAGACCAATTTAGTTTTTCCAGTACCTTAAAATTTATTTTTGTAAGTTACCAATTAAATTAAATAAAAAATGAATAATTACCAGGTGGACCGAAAAGTAATATACAATTTAACTTCAATCCTTTAAAAAGTTGTGGTTGCTTAAACGGTAATATAACATTACTGGTTAAAGCCGATTTAATTTCTTGTAAACCCGCGATATTTTGAAATCCTTGTCCCAATGTGTTAATCTCACAATTTTTCAGATTAACTTGGTTTTTATTATCAACAGAAGGAGACGTTGAAGGAATCTGCGTGGAATTTTGGGCGTTTGAGGCGGCGGATTTCTTTTTAATTAAATCCTTTAATTGTATTGTGTTTTGTTTGAGTTCTTGCAGAACTTTGTTAAAAATTGAGACCTATTAAAAATTAGACATGTAATATATTAAACGTTCATTTTTGTTTAAAGTGCAAGTTGTTAAAATGTGTTCAAGGTAAGTAATCGAATTTAAATGTTGATGCACATCTTGATTTTTTTGAGATGGTCATGTTTACACTGTTATAACAAAGGTAGTTGTAAATACAAAACTGCAATACTTCAAAGTTCCAAAAAGTAAATATCTATTTTATACAGTTTACACATTGCGATCTTGCAGTAGTTACAATTGTTCTTAGTCTTTTTATCGTCGAGGATATTGCTGCCACATTTTCTTCCTTTTTTGTCCAATATTTATTTGTTGTACTCATAAACAAATAAATTAAAAAAAACTATTTACTTACATGAATTCCTGGGAGAAATACTTGCTTGCTTATCAAATCATTAATCTTCTTCGTACAATTTTTGATCTCAACATCAGCTTGTTCTAGGTAACCATTTTCAATTAAAGTTTGAATTTGAACACAGCTAAATAAAAATAACCTTTTATATAAAAATATTTAAACTAACCTAATTAACCAAACCTTGTACAAATATTATTATAATAATCTGTTAAATACGCCATTGGCGAAGAATTTTCTTCCATCGTCGATAAAACACACCAAAGATTTAAATTTAACAAAAATGGATATAATGGCGATGGTAACTAACATCATCTATGTGTACAAACAAAAACTATTAAGCTGTCAGAATTTACATTATTATCGACTCAGCAAAGAGAGAAGTCTGTCAAGTTCTCTTGGGCGCATTTCAAAATCGAATATGTCTGCCGTTTTTTTGACGTGTAGGCTGCGAAGTGCAGCATTTTGATTTGGTCGTGATCCGCGTCACACCCTCTTCAGCTGCTCACGAAATTCCACATGTAATACACCTTAAATTTGACGCCGATAATTTCATCTTCGAGGTTACAACACGCCCTATTAAAGGTGAGTAAAAGATTCCGACTAAATAACCCAATTTTTTTGTACCCTAAAAAAAGGTTAACCGAACGTGTGCACCTTCAAAAAAATTGTACATACAAATATTGTACGTTGTATGCTTGCATTTCACGCTATATAATTAATCGTATCTTTGCATGATGATTTTATCAACATGTCATTTATTAAAAACGGGAGAAGTCGATTTTTTCTTCGGGTGCTCCAGGAATACTTAACCTCAATCTTTTTTTTAGTATTTAAGAATTTCTTGCGTTTACGCTTAAATTAATTTTTACGGCTCAATAATGTTTTTTTTTCGAGGTCAGGTTCGAAGGTGAAAAAAATATATTGTCATCATCTTCTAGAATAACTTTCTGGGGCGATTTTAAGAAAAGATTTGTTTCATAAAGATTTCATCCTATTTAACATAAATACACACATGAATATTTAACAATTTTCTTTAACAGAAATGAATCTTTCAAAATGTCATTGTGGAAATAGGAACAAATTCGTGAAAAACCGGCATCCATTGTGTGAAAGGAGCAAGTCACGCCATTCAATCCTGTTTGAAAACCGCTATATAGAGACACGTGCTTTTATGGAGAACTTGACATTACGTTTTTAGATGGGCGAACAATATAAGAGTGGGCGATTTTTTCTTATTTATTGCTTAATTTGCATTATGATGTAGAATAAAGTTGTTAGATTGTGACACTTTAGTATGCAACAACAATTACAATGAAAAAAAAAGGATAAATGATTAAGTAGGATGGAAACTAGGTTAGAGACGTTTATTGAACTGATTTGATGGTTCTTTAGAGACTGATGACCCTGTTTTTCATCATAAATTACCGCTTTCCTTTATTGTAATGATGCGAATTGTAAATTCCTTAACTCTGAAACGTATTAATAACAATATTAAGAGAATAATGAGTTAATTGGGTTTGCTATAATGATCATAATTTATTGTTATTAGTATGACTCGCGAGAAGATTATTATTTGGACCTATAACAGATAATATATGACACATAGGTCAATTAGATCATTTTTAACCTGAATGAGAGTCTCGTTAAGTATTAATTATGGTTAAACTAATAAAAATAACGAAGAAAATTCAACCAATTAAAATTTGTTGATGTTAAATTTGTCACTTTTTGACATTTAAGTGTCAAATTTGTGTTTATTGTGAAGATCCCATTGCAAGCATTCAGCAGAGAATTCTCACATTTCAACATTTAATTGTCAACCTTCAAGTTTTTGTTAGTTATAAAGAATCTCTTAAAGTTGACGTTTTTTCACTATCATGATATGAAAAGTGTAAAGTTCAAGCTGTCATTTTTGACAGATAAATGTCAAGTTTGTGCATAATTCTTTCTTTTAGAAACAGTCTAAAATTACTCTTATTTTTAAATCTGGTGATTGATGTCTTGTAAACAACTATCGTCCTATCTATTCTACCAATAATGGGAAAATTTTTGGAAAAACTCATTTATAATTTTTTCAAATTTCATTTTAGATAATAAATTACTTTTTGGTCAACACATTGATGAAGTTGTGGCTAGAGCTAATAGGATGATGGGCTTTGTAATGCGTTTGTCCGAATCTTTTACTAATGAGATTAGGTTTCTGAAACACCTTTCCTGTCGATTCTGTCATCATTATATAGATTATTTGTCTGCCTGCCAAAACTATCATATGCCCATGCTTTAACAGTGTAAATGATCTAGTGATGTTCGCTTTATGTTCAGGTTGGTTAATGGTTACTGCGACTCCCCATATCTTCTCTCAAAAATTGACTTGCTTCCTCCTCGCGGGTTATGATATGATTTCTTATTTTACGCACCAACAGCTCGAACTAGTTCTTATAAGAATTCTCCAATAGTGCGGATGGAAAGAGCAGTACAATTATAGACGTGTTATTCGAAGCGCCATACTCTCTTTTGTACCCAGATAGGTTCTTGTACAACCGTCGTAACGTAGTGCCTTTTGTTAAATTACATATGTATAGTATAGTTGTGATTTAGCTCCTAAATGGACTTGTCCTATCGCTTCCTCCATGTATATACAGGGTGTCTCAGCGAGACCGGTCATTAGACGTTTTTGGGGTTCTAGCCAAACAAAAAATTTGAGAATGCAGACTTAAGTATTATCAATTACGTTCTCTTCATCTAAAATATTTTCAGATTTCTAGCACTTCCGGTTATACCGGAAGTCGCCACCTACTCTATTTTTTTAAATGGAACACCCTATATATTTTTACATATTTGGATTTGTCTGTTTTGAAGGTTTATAAATAACTTTACTTTTTGCAATTTGAACCAGCAATTCTCGAGTTATTCGAATTTTTCTAGAAAAATTTGCTCCAGCGGACATTTGTTTAAAAAATCATAGAACACTCAATTTTTGAGATATCAATTTAGGATTCAGAGCATGCTTAAACAACATGATGGAGTATGTTTTGGTGCCGAGAACGGCTGTCTAGATCGTTTGGTCACTTTACTATGATACGTTAACTTTTCGAAATTTGGAAGCACCATAACTTCATTTTTTTAAATGGCACCCCCCATATTTTATTACTTAGTCGTCTTCGGCGTCTCATTTTACATCTTTTATATTCCATATGTCCTATGCCTAACATTAATAGTTTGAGAAATAATTAGGGTTTTTTGAAAAATGCTCATATCATATGGATATTAACCTAGTGTGCCATAGAAAACAAATGTTTAATGACTTATTGATAAACGTCTAATTTAGGTTGTTTGATGCTTGTGAGTCTAAAACCAGTTAAAATGGATATTATTAATATATTAATAACGTAAATAATGTTTATACAATTGAAGAAATCAATAATTTATTTTTGTGCATGAAAAGTGCGACAAAGTTCTTAGTAGAACTTGCAGAATGTTTAATGAAAATTATCCACATTTATCTCCGATGACAAAAGATAAATTTAGAGGAATAGAAGCAAATTTTTTGCATTTTGGACGAATTAATCACGTGTTAAACTGACCAAAAAATGTAGTAGATAATGCAACGGAAGAGGTGAATACCTTGGCTTATTTCGAGCCCAGTCCCAACACCTCAATTCGAGCTGCCAAAGAAGATCTGGGAATCATACTACGAACTTTGTCGCTCTTTTCATGCAAAAAAAATAAATTAAGCATTTCTTGATTTGTGTAAATATTACTTTCGTTATTGTTATCGATTTTAACTCGTTTCAGTACTAATATTAAGGGACATAACAGATAATTATTAGCTCACATGCATCAAGTGACGTAAACAAGTGAGTCTTTGACAAGAACTCATTGAGAAGGCTTGTTTTTCATGGCACACTAGGCTAAATATCCATATATGTGTGCATTTTTCAAAAAACCCTAATTATCTCCCAAACTATTAATATTAGGTGTGGGTGATATGGGATATAAAAGATGTAGAATGAGACACCGAAGACGACTAAAAAATAAAATATGGGGGGTGCCATTTAAAAAAATGAAGTTATGGTACTTCCAAATTTTGAAAAGTTAACGTGTCATAGTAAAGTGATCAAACGTTCTAGACCGCAGTTCTCGGCACCAAAACATACTCCATCATGTTGCTTAAGCATGTTCTGAATACTAAATTGATATTCCAAAAATCGAGTGATCTCTGATTTTTTGAACAAATGTCTGCTGGAGCAGATTTCTCTAGAAAAATTCGAATAACTCGAGAACGACCGAATCAAATTGCAAAAAGTAAAGTTATTGAAAACAGACAAATCCAAATATGTAAAAATATACAGGATGTTCCATTTAAAAAAATAAAGTTGGTGGCGACTTCCGGTATAACCGGAAGTGCAAGAAATCTGAAAATATTTTAGACGAAGAGATCGTAATTGATAATACTTAAGTCTGAATTCTCAAATTTTTATTTTCGCCAGAACCCCAGAAACGTGTAATGACCGGTTTCGCTGAGACACCCTGTATAAATAAATAATTCTCAATGATCACTGTTAATTGTTGAAATGTTCGAGAATTAAGATTCTTGAAGATCTTGTATATTCCTTCATGTAGTAGAGTCTGCCCTTGTTAAGATTGGTACAACTGATTCGATATGGTGCCTCGCTTTAAAAAATCTCTTAGTCTGCATAATTTTATTCATAAAATATCCAAATTCTTTATAAGTTGTAAGTAGTAATATTTTTTTGTAGGGTTAAGCTTCATCGTCTCATTGATGATATATTTTTCAACATATTCCTAAGTTGCTAAGGAACTCTTTACAAGCTATCTGAGAACCCCCTTAAGTTAAAGTCCTAGAAACCCAAGAAAAGCGTTAGAAACTTTTAAAAACTTCCTGGGAAATTCTTTGGGATCTGCAAATGTTTCTCGAAGTTGAATGCTTTTTCTTTTGGTAATTTTTTCAAGTACATTTTTCATCTCTTAACTTATTTAAGATGTCGTCCGCTACATTAGAGTCAAAATTTATAACCAAGTTAAAATGACATAATCAAAAATTTAACTTTATATTTGTAATTGCATGATTTAATTGGCCATAATTACTTCACGCTTATGAATGTTTTAATTCATTTATATTATTTCATTTTAGTTGTTATTGTGTGAATTGTGTTCAAATTGTATTACCTAACTTTATTGAATCAAATTAGTTCAAATAACTTAAAGCTAAATCGGTTAAAATGAGGACAAGAAGTGGCGACCGGGTTGAAATTTCGGTACCGTCGGTTCGGCATCGTGAATTTAGTTGAAAATAGTGAGGGTGTCTATTAATAGTATTATACAGAGAGAACGACCGTGCCGTAGGACGTGTTCCGAACGGGGAGCTTCGTTCTAATTCTGGGGTTCGGTTTGAATAGGTGCCCATCGTCGTCCTCGTTCTTCTCCGTTTCGAAAGTATCCGGTGCGAAAAAATTCCATCTCTGTTCACGCATCATCCCTTTGACATGGGAAAAAAGAAGAAAATGAATCGTCTAATATCGAGATGGATGAGAAGGTTCGATGTGTGAATAAAAATGTGTTTCTTTTTCTTTTTTTTTTACGTGTGGTTTTTTCTTCGATTAAACTAAATCATGTTAAGTATTAGATTTTTTTTTCTTTTCCGCACCCCTAACATTTTTTCTATTTTTATATTTTGATTTGTTTTTAAACGCTTGATTGTTGTTACGCTTAATTTTTATGTGTCTATGTGTATTCAACCAATTCGCTCATTATACGCATTGTTGCACGCAGTGTTGGCTACGTATTTGTTCGTCCGGAGGACCGTTGTTCTTATTAAAATAGTTAGTTTGTCCTCGTGTTCGTTTTGTGCATGCGGCGTTTTTTTCTCTTTATAATCAGTATCGTCCTCAGTGACCTGCCGGACGATCGGTCCCCGGTTTTGCTTCTGGGGGTCGCGAAAATTCCGACATCTCCAAAGAGCACTCCGCGGGGTGTTTTAACCGCTACAGTTCAACCGTCGTCGAACGCGCTGCCCAAGAAGGATGGTGCGCAAAGTAAAACGGTCGTAAGGAAGAAATTTGTTGTTACGCCGTGCAAGGAAAATACGTTACCCACTACTACAACAGCTACCACTGCTACCGAACGTTATCCAAGCGTGCAAGTTAACGATGTGCTCCCTGTTGTTCTTGCTCCAAGCGAAACTGTAGCTATTATGGATGATATAGACACGGAGGGGCACCGTGTAGGTGCTTCAATTAATTCCGCGGATACTAAAGGTATATTGTTTCTTGGAATGGTGATTTTATATGTTGAAAGCATCTCCCTCGGCACTTCATTTCTGCTATTTCCTATTACACTTGGATTTTTTTTAGGAATTTACAGCTAACATATTTTTTTTTTTAATTCTTGTTTGTGTCATAAAAATAAACCATGAATCACCCAACATTTTATTTTCGCTTTATTTCATAATATTCTGTGTTTATTTATGTTTTTTGAGATTACTTGAAGTAGTTGTTGCAACTTGATATACATATTACATAATAGTCTCAATAAGACATAAATAAACTAAGATTTTCGATCTTTTCCATAATTCATCCATTTATTAATTTTAATCACATGCATCTTCTTACTCACTTTGCTAACAAAGTTTTAGAAATCTTATCAAGTTTACTTCTGTTTTTTCTTTTAACTCACAAATATAATTAAAAATAATTTTTTTAATATTTATTCTAGATTTAAATTTCGATCACAATTCTTCAAGTTCAGAAGCAATAAAAGCATCCCGCGCATCAACTGGTTGTGGAGGTGAACACCGATTACCATCGTACCTGAGTTTGGCGTGTACAGTGAACGGTTATTCCTCGACGACAAACTACGATCCTGAAAGGTTAGCCCGTTCTAGGGACGCCTCACCACATCGGCCGTTCGGCCACAATGTCGACGGTTTGACCACCGCGTACACCGTTTGCAACAATTTACTTTCGCCACCGAATCTCGTCCCATTACCGCCAATTTCGGACCACGACACCGCCGACGTCAACATGTCGGAAAACGGCGTTACAATTACCACTCAATCCACCACCACATACAGACACGAATACCATCATCACCAATTATCAAATAGCTTAACTATGTCTTATAATCTCGCTTCGTCCGATACTGTAGATACATGCGCCAACAATGGTTTTAAGGGTTCTAATATAGTTTCGAGCTGCGATAAAGAAAATAATAACTCCAAATCGTTTATACAGCAACGTGTTGAGCGGTTGTACGGACCAGGGGCGCTCGCTCAAGGATTTTTTGTTATGAAAAAGCAGAAAAACAAAAGCTATGAACTTGAACATATTGCCAGGTGTAAGGCTGCTAGCGAAAAGCACTCAAAGTCGATGAACGAGCAAGGTTTTCGTCATGATGATGATACTTCTGATGGTGGTAAGTAAAAAAATTATTATTTTAACAAAAACATTTAAATTCTTTCTACTTATTGAGCTGTGATTTTTTCACAATTTCATTTTTTAATATTTATTACATCATGCAACCAACTATGTCAGTGTCAGAACAAGTTAACATACCAAGTTGTCAAAACATATTTAAACAAATCATGTTTTTCTTTATAACTATTCTTCAATTCTTTATAGAAGTCAAGAATTAGTATAAATATAGTATTTTTTTGTAATATATCAGGTAAGATTGTTATTTATATCAGGCACATAAGATCTATTTTTTGTTTGTAGAAGAAAAATTTACTTTAGTTAAGGATTTTAATCATTTACAAAATATACCAAATATTGATTTAATGATAATAATGTTCAAGATAATAACCTGAAGATTAATTCAGAGGATTACCAAATAATCTAAGAAAAGATAATACACTTTGAGCTCAACTAAAGCTGGTGTTTACAGCTTTTAATTGAAAAAGAAAACATTCAAAATTTGTCTCTTAGAAGAATATGGTGATTATATCAAATGATCAACCAAGTACTTGGAGTACTTTTAATGAAACTCTTGTCCACTAACATTGATTAACAAAGCACATCTTCATCAAATTCTATCAGAAAATGTTTTTGAAAAGCCAATTTACGTTATGCAGGAAAGGCCATAAGAAAATTATTAATGGCTCTACTACAACGGATTAGAAATTCAACATGAGGCACTATAATCAGTAGAAATATATCTTCAGTGTATCAATAACGCAATATTTTTCAAGAACAATTATAGTGGGATGCATTAGATAATACTACATCATGCAACCAACTATGTCAGTGTCAGAAGAAGTTAACATACCAAATTGCCAAAACATATTTTAAAAAATCATGTGTTTTTCTTTATAACTATTCTTCAATTCTTTATAGAAGTCAAGAATTAGTATAAATATAGTATTTTTTTGTAATATATTTGTTATTTATAATCAGGCACATAAGATCTATTTTTTGTTTGTAGAGGAAAAATTTACTTTAGTTAATAATTTTAATCATTTACAAAATATACCAAATATTGATTTAATGGTAATAATGTTCAAGATAAAAACCTGAAGATTAATTCAGAGGTCTACCAAATAATCTAAGAATAGATAATACACTTTGAGCTCAACTAAAGCTGGTGTTTACAGCTTTTAATTGCAAAAAAAACATTAAAAATTTGTCACTTAGAATATGGTGATTATATCAAATGATCAACCAAGTACTTGGAGTACTTTTAATGAAACTCTTGTCCATTAAGATTGATTAACAAAGCACATCTTCATCAAATTCTATCAGAAAGTGCTTTTGAAAAGCCAATTTACGTTATGCAGGAAAGGCCATAAGAAAATTATTAATGACTCTACTACAACGGATTAGAAATTCAACATGAGGCACTATAATCAGTAGAAATATATCTTCAGTGTATCAATGACGAGATGTTTTTCAAGAACAATATAGTGGGATGCATTAGATAATACTACATCATGCAACCAACTATGTCAGTGTCAGAAGAAGTTAACATACCAAATTGCCAAAACATATTTTAAAAAATCATGTGTTTTTCTTTATAACTATTCTTCAATTCTTTATAGAAGTCAAGAATTAGTATAAATATAGTATTTTTTTGTAATATATTTGTTATTTATAATCAGGCACATAAGATCTATTTTTTGTTTGTAGAGGAAAAATTTACTTTAGTTAATAATTTTAATCATTTACAAAATATACCAAATATTGATTTAATGGTAATAATGTACAAGATAAAAACCTGAAGATTAATTCAGAGGATTACCAAATAATCTAAGAATAGATAATACACTTTGAGCTCAACTAAAGCTGGTGTTTACAGCTTTTAATTGAAAAAAATAACATTCAAAATTTGTCACTTAGAATATGGTGATTATATCAAATGATCAACCAAGTACTTGGAGTACTTTTAATGAAACTCTTGTCCACTAACATTGATTAACAAAGCACATCTTATTATCTATTACATATCTATATATCTTCAGTGTATCAATGACGCTATATTTTTCAAGAACAATATAGTGAGATGCATTAGATAATGATGAGGTAGCTGATGTTGGAAGATCAGGGATGATATTGAATGGTATGATTGAATGATAATAAAAGTGGGCCAGTTCAGTATTGAGAAATGTCATAAACAATATGGAACGCATTTCAGGGTTCGTACAAAACGGCGATGGAAATATCGAAAATAATAATAGATAACTCTATTGGAGCTTCATGAAGACAATTTTCATCTGTACAAAATTGCTATAGTTCAAAAATTATAGCATCAAGATTTCGCAAGAATTAACTTTTGCAGAAACAATGTTAATGATAAAAGATCCTGAAATGATTGTGTTGACCCCATATGACTTCAGTTGTTAGGTGAATTCCAAACACTACTTAATGATGATCATTGATCACTGACTTAATTCTCTCCCTCTATGTCGCTGCCAAATTCTTCTAAGAAGGGTTTAATTCAATAGGATGGCTTTACTAGATGTGGATGAAAAAAAACAGATCTTCAGTTAACCACTTGTATTAACAACTAAGGTTGGATAGAAATTGCTTATTGATTAAATTGAAACTATCATACTTTAATATTACAAAAAAATTCTATTGATCCCAAACTTCCTTAATTAATGTATAAGATAATCAATGTTTTTGTTAATTTTAATAGAAAATGTTAATCTGATAATATTTTATTAAATATTGATTATAATATATTGGAATTGTATTTATTATTTTTTTTTTAGATTCAAAATCAAAATCGACTTTACCTGTATTAAGACATTTAAGACCTGAATTTCGAGCTCAATTGCCTTTAACAGTAACGAAAAAACGCACCAGTGAAAACACATCTCCGCAAAAAATCCCCTCAATTAATATAGTCCAAGAGGAAGAATCCGTTAATGGCCATTGTAATCCAGCGGACGAGATGAACTGCGGATTTCGCAACGAACTCAAACAAAGTACTCCGTGTAAAAAGAGCAATGATGTCTGTGATAGGAATAAGCCCCGCAATCAAACGCGTGAAAGCAGTAAGTTAAACTCGTGTTATTTAAAAACAATCCAATTAATATATTAATAGTATCTTATCAAATAATGTGCTTATCTACAATAGATAGTAGCAAATACACTTGTCTTTTTTAATTTTAATGAGTTATGTAATTGGTCAAATAAATATTAACGGTCGTCATGGTTACAGCTGTTAAAGATGGGCATTACTTTATGATGATAATAGAAAAGGAATCCCAACGTTTACTCGCTTTAGCAATAAAAGCTGAAGAGGAATTAGAATCTCCAGATTTAAGCGAAGATGCCAAAGGATTTTTAAGATCAGCATCTGGAAAAGCCAGGCTTTTAGTTACTCAAAAGATGCAACAATTTAAAGGATTATGTAGAAATAATGTAACACAGGTTGGTGAAAATTTATTAATTAATAAACATTTATTTATTATGAAATATTTTACATAGGTACCAGATGAAGCTTTTCCAACTACCAATGAAGACCTCCAAGGTTTTTGGGATATGCTCATGTTACAAGTCATACAAATCGATAATTTATTTGCCGAACTCGAAACATTAAAAGCAAATAATTGGGAGGTAAAATAAAACGATTTTTTTTGTGAATCTTAATAAAAAAAAAATTTTTTAATTAGGAAAGCCCAGTTCCAAGTAATGTTTCAACAAATGGTAAAAACGTTAAAGAAACTAAAAAGGTCGTAAAAGTACCAAGACCTTCAAGTGCTGTAACAGTAGAAAGGAAACTCCGCGAAATCCAAAGGAAAAAGTTGATTGAAGAGAAACGAAAAGCAATGCGTGAACAACAACAAAATAAATCATCCCGGCAAAACATTGAGATTTACGTGCCTGAATCTAGCTGAAAATCGCTTACAGTGCGATTACTGTATAGCTGCAACATTTATTTGCGAAAAAAGAAAAAAATTAATTTAAATTGGCAGTATTTTTAATGGAGATGACAAAAGAAAAATGAAATCGTTTTAATTGTTTGGAAATCTTATTTTTTTATCTCCTTTATACAATAAAATAATAATATATCTATGTTTTAAAAAAAAACGTTATTTATTGATACATTTGTTATATTTCTTCTTGATAACGACGAAACTTTTTTGTAAATCACTAAATTTATCTATCTTGTTAACGAAGGAACACCTAAATTGTGTATTCATATTGAAATTGATTCGTTAAAATTGCACGTATATTTTTTGTTTAACAATATAATTTCGTGTGTTTTTTAGGTACATCTTTTATTAATTTATTTTTTTTTAAATGTTTATTGAGTACTTCGTTCTTGTGCCGCTGTGAGATGATATGTAAAGACTGAAAATCTTGTAAGAAGGAAATTTGCACAAGTGTTTGTGAATTTTTGACATTTACAAAGACTAAAATATGCACATTCCCAGTATATATATTACACATATTCTAGTATAACAAGGGGCATATCTTTTAATTTCCTTTCTATGACCGGCCTCTGTATAAATATTCAAATACGTATATTTCCGCTTTAACAATTTTAAAAATATTAATAATCGACTGATGCGTCATTTACACAAACGCTGTTTCTTTTTTTGTCTTTTTAGTTTATGTCTTCACTTATTGCACTCTCTTATTAATGAATCTATTGTAAAATAACATTCATTTTATTAAGACAGATTTACATATTTACTTATATAAAATGATTGAATATTTTGTGTAGTTATAATGAAGTAAGAATAAAAGCTAAAATGAAAATATTTTCTGTAATAATTATTTATATGTTGTTTAATACAAATTCTGCTAAAAAATGTGTTTATGAATCAAATACCACTCCTAAAATACACATCATAATCAAAAGATGTAATAGTTATTTATTGTGTAAGTGTTTTAGACAGCATTTTATTAATAAACAAATAATAAATGCATAATGTATAAAACACGCATGCAATACAACGTTTTATCCACAATTACACTCATTTAGAATCAGAATCGCCAAAATTTCATCTGATGTTATCAAAAAATGACTCTAACAGCAGCTGTCACCTCAAAAATCATTGCAATTATATAACTAAAAAACCATTGGGAGATGTTGAATTGTATTTTCGTTTGTTTATCAACTTCATTTGTAAAAGTGTGAAAGTTGTAAAGGTAAAGTTGGTGAAAAATGAGAGAAACTGATTATGTTCCCAAGAAATAAATCTTGAGGAAGCTGAAGAAGCAACTGTCCAATGAAATTGTTATTAATGGAAAGGAAGTAAAATATGGCAAATCAAAGAATTAAATATCTATTAATATAAATAATAAATAGGATGTGATTGATTTAAGATTGTATTTTTCATTATTCCACAAGTGGAATAAAACAACTTTATACCACTATTGGATAAAGTGGTACTTTATAAGGTGAAATAGGTTGAAATAAGTTACTCATTTTAAAAGATTATAATTTTATTCTTCAGTTAAAATTTCCACTCCTGTCTGAGTAATTAAAACGGTATGTTCAAACTGTGCAGTTCTAGCACCATCAGTAGTTATAGCAGTCCAGCCATCTTCTAAAATAGTAATTTCTTGTGAGCCTTGTGATAAAACAGGTTCAATAGTAAACGTCATTCCTGGTTCCATAGTTTCATTATTGTAATTAGCTAAAATTTGAACCCAACAGAAAATTATAATGTACTCAAAATTTAAATATTACCAAAATGGCAAATATCTGGGGGACCATGAAAATATTTCCCAATTCCATGACCAACAAAACATGGTACAACTGAATATCCAAATTGGTATGCTTTCCTTTCAATACATTGCCCAATTGTTGAAAATCTTTCGCCTGGCTTGCAAACGGAAATACCTTGATAAAGACAGGTTTCGGTAGCTTTAACTAAGTCTCTTCCAAATTGATCAACATTTCCTACTAAGAAAGTTTTTGAACAATCTCCATGATAACCGTTAAAAAACACTGTTACATCTACATTAATGATATCTCCATCCAAAAGGGGTCTGCAATCTGGTATACCATGACAAGCCACATTATTAACAGATGTACAAATCGATTTTGGAAATTGTTTATAATTTAGAGGAGAAGGATAAGCTCTATTTGCAATTATTAAATTATGAGCAAATGAATCAACCTCGTCCGTTGTAATTCCCACCTATAAACTTAAATGAATTAGATAATACAAGTTATTTTTTTAAAATTATTTGTTATATAATACTCGAATAAATTTTCCAATCTTATTCAAAACTTGTGCAGCTAATTTACAACTTTCCCTCATACGCTGGATTTGTTTAGCATTTTTGATTTCAGGCTCTTCAGGTGTAATCATAGTTGATCCTGATTTGTAATAATCAGGTTTTCTTATTGTAATAGGTACAGGTTTCATTTTTGTTACAAATGCAGGCTCTACAAGAGCATATTCTCCAAAACTACTGTTAATTTTTAGAAAGAATTGGTGAATGATAAATAAAATATGATAAGAAAAAATGTTTACTCACCGTTTTTTACTCCAAAAATATTTACAAGTGTTACGAAATTTTGAAATTGTAGACTTTGTAGTCTTAGAAGTTAGCGTAATTAACATTTTTTTTTAATCTAAAATTATTATAAAAAATTGCCCGATTATATATATATGATGCATTTAATTAAAATTATTTAATTTACTTACTTATTTATTATTAGTACGTTTAAAGTAACTATTTCATTATTTATGTATTATAAATAAATAAATGTGAGGTTATTCTTGCATTATATTAGACGTTTGTATTTTGACAATTAGATGGAGTTAATGGTTGGTGGTACCAACTATTTTCATAAATTCCTTTTTTAAAAATAATTTTAGGATATAGAATCTGATTTTGGAACAGCTTCAACTTGATTTAATTCTCGGGGATCGTCGAAACATTTAATCGTTAATTTTAATTTTTATTTTTTTTTAAGGTTGGTGTAATTTTTCTTATGACGTGTCAAACTTCACTTGGCTTAAGTGAACGTGGTGAACTCTGCGCGAAGTGGGGCCAACGGTGGTGATACCGCGTAATATCGAGTAACCTATGTGTGCATGCGTGTCATGTTTTTGACTGTCAAAAATGGTTCAAACCGGCACCAAAAAATCAATCTCGAAATTTAATACTAAAACAGGTATTAGCAGCCTAATTATATTTGTGGTTTTATTGCTCGCATGGCTCGCCGGCTTCTCATCCAGGTTATTTGCCGTTATCAGATTCGAAAGCATTATTCATGAATTTGATCCATGGTAAGTAGAAAAAATCCGTTTCGTGCTCTATTTTCGTCCGTTAACTTAATTTTTTTATTTGAAATTTGTCAGGTTTAACTACAGGGCCACCGCTTACATGGTTAAGCATGGATTTTATAATTTTCTTAACTGGTTTGATGAACGAGCGTGGTACCCTTTGGGAAGGATTGTTGGTGGAACCGTTTATCCTGGGTTGATGCTCACTTCTGGGACTATTCATTATTTCTTACATTTGTTACATATTAATGTTCATATTAGGGATATTTGTGTTTTTCTAGCACCCATTTTTAGGTAAGTCAATTTATTGAACTTTCTGTTCAATGATAAGTTTATTTGTATAAAAACATTATCAAATTATCAAACGTTTAGATAAAGAATAAGATTGATATAAAGAACACATTTTAAAATTTAAGTATATATTCTATATTGATCTGATATTAGTAGTAGTAGTGATAATTAATAACAAATAGAATTAATTTCAAGTGGAGTAACTATTTTAACATGAAGACAACACATTTTTGTAATTCTAAATGGATTATTTTATCCAGCGATCCATCTTGGAAATGTAAAAAAGTAAAACTGTCATATTTAGGGCTGTGCAAATCCATATGTGCCAATTGAGAAGGTAATGCATCAAAAATGATGTGATAATTGGCATTTTCTTTGGCTAACATTCAATGCTGATCATTAATGTACCATCTTAACTGATTTTTTGTTTCATAGTTTCAATTTGTTTCTGATAGATTATTATTTATTTATGGGATTTATTAATTACAAATGTTAACTTAATCATTTAGAGGCGGTTAAGGTTTTATAAACCGCAATTAAAGTTGTTTTTGATGAAAAGATTCTCAAATGATTAAAAATGTACTAAAACATTGTTTGACGACTTTAAAACTAGCTGAGGTAGTTTAATTGAAATAGTAAAAAAGAATAAAAAGTTACTTAACCTTATTTTCAATAAATGTTAATTTCAAATTGGTGATTTTTAAACATTTTTATAAAAAGAACTGGTTACATTGGAAACTTAAAATTACGCATAACTTCACCACAAATAGCCTTTAATAACCTCGAAAAGTTTTATTAATTAAATCTAAATAAATTTGATGAAAAACTTCTATAACCTCACTTTGAAGAAAATTGAAATTGGCGATTTTTAAACATATTTACCAAAAAAACTATTTGTATTGGAAACTTCAAATTTGATATAACCTTAGGTTAAACATCAGCTACTGCTGAAAGTTTATACAAAGTCCTAAATAATGCAACTTTAGATACTTTGAGAATAACCACAATATAAGCTTTTATAAAACCTAAAAAACGTTTGTTATGTAATGTGTTAAATCTATTTTTTTCTTTATCTATTCAAGTTTAATTCCCTTTAATATATTATTTTCTTTTTAATTTTTAGTGGACTAACCGCAATTTCAACATATTTATTGACCAAAGAATTATGGTCAAAAGGGGCAGGTTTATTCGCTGCTTGTTTCATTGCCATAGTACCTGGTTATATCAGTAGATCTGTAGCTGGCAGTTATGACAATGAGGGGATCGCTATTTTCGCCTTACAATTTACTTATTTTCTATGGGTAAAATCCGTCAAGACTGGCTCGATATTTTGGGCTTGTATGACCGCTTTATCCTATTTTTACATGGTAAGAAATTTTTTTTATACAGGCTGGCTAAATAAACGTGCAAAGTACTGTATTTCGGAAACTACTTGTAGAGATTTGCGTTAAAAAATTTAACGACTAAAGTAGCTAAAAGAAAATCCTGGAAATTATTTTCAAATTTCTAAGATGATCACTAGGGGGCGCAACCACCATCTTGAATTAAAAAATGTGGTTTTTCTAGGAAATCCACCGTATTAACACAACAAAAAAGTATGTGCAATTTAAAGTTTAGAAAAGTTATAGTGTTTTTTGTTAAAACACTTTTTGCCCTATCTTTTAAAATAAAAGTGGTTAGAAAATGTTTGTGAATAAATGTCAATAATTTCAAAATGGCTGAACGAAATTTAATAAGCCTGGTAACGTTGAAAAGAGTTTTTCTTGGACTACAAATCCTACCTTATTTGTGGTGATTGCAATTTGGTACGTTGCTACTAGAGCGCATTTTTCGATATTACAATAGAAATTGTAAATTTTCTTAGAAAAGCCTATTTCCATGGCCAGCCAGATCCCCACACTTGGTTGAATATTTATTTATGGGGGTGGTTAATGGTGTTTCAAAGACAAGACATGGAGTATAGGATTTTGAATGCCTTTCACAACCTACCAAGAGCAGAAATTTAAAGTGGAGTTTTTTCCACGCAAGAGAGGCTCCAGCAATTAATAGAACGTGATGGATGGCAATTTGAGTATTTAAGGAGGCATTAAACAAATTTTTAGAAGCCCAAGATAATTTCTTTGGGGCAATTAGTAGTAGTTGGTTTTACAATTCTTATGTGATTAAAATTATGTTTATTTTTGTCAATATGCCAAATTTTCGCTTCTAAATGGACTAAAAAACAAACACCTCTCAAAAGTGAGGTGAAATATCTTCTAAACTAAGGCACTTTAAAAAATGTAAAAAAAACTGATTGAAATCTATTGAATTTTCTCATATAATCTTCTTTCAATGATATTTTTGCTTAGGAACATGAAATCGAGGTATGGTTTTCACTAGCTTGTTTGGGCTTCATTTTGCTGTTTTTTCGTGAAAATAAAGTAATACTAATAGATTTAACTTTTGTAATAAAATTCACAATATCTATAGTTCTTTTTTTTTCTATGTATAATACTTGGCAAGGTAAATTTTTAGGGTTTCTGTTGGTATTACCAAAGACCCTTATAAAATGTATGTTGTTCTTCTGATTTTTAGTAACATTTTCAGTAACTACATAGTTGAGGTTAAAATACTAATACATTGTTAGATAAATACGATTTTAACGAAGTACATATTTATTGTAAAAACGTGCTACAAAGTAATGGAATAGAACAAAACACCTTTTTAGGTAAACAAATAGCAAATAACACCCCAAAACACTTTTTATGCATCATATTCAGGTTTATGATGAATGGAGGAAGATCTTTAAAGGAAGTATTACCCATATGAATATGCCACTCTTTTTCAATTAACTTATCAACGTGATTTATACAGTTGTTCAATAATTCTGCTGTATAATTTAACAAAGCAGTATACCACACCTTACTGTCACGATTTTTCTCTTTGAAGGACATCGTTGATATGTTTATTATAATAGGTCTTGCAATAGGCCCAAACTAGTTCAATTGCATTATGCTTACAATGATAAAGAACACTTCAAGATTATTCTGCAGAAGAAGATCATCGACGACATATCTTTTTGTATTTTGCTGCAAAAATGGCACGATCTTTTGCTAAAAATGAGCTTTTGTTTCGTGTTCATTAACATTTAGATTATGTTGGATAAAAACTTGCATTAAAACACTTTTCTTTGATGTTTGCGTGGGTGTTTTATCTTTGAGGAATGATAGGGCCCATTATCCATTATCACTACATGTTTGCCAGATAAATTTTGCACCGCTGGAATTAGATTTTTGTTGACCAAGTTGTAAAAGATTTGGAAATTCATCGTCTTGTGGTAATCTTTGTCAGTATTCTTGCTATTAAAAAGTAACAAGAAATGTTCTAAAAAGCCACCTCTGTAACCTGCATGTAGTACAGTAAACGTGTCTTCTTCACTTTTTATTTTAATGTTAACCAAACATCGTCATAATCATCGTCTTTTACCCGTCTGCGTAATTCAGAAACATTCTTATTCCTTCTTTTGCTTTTTTGAATAAGGAACGCTCAAATAAACGTCAATGTGACATATTTATTTCAAAACATGATAAAATAAAACTCCCTGTTAATATTGCCAACTTTACAACAATTTGACAGGTATTATAGAAAAAAAACGTACTGTATTGTAATATCGAAAAATGCCCTCTTGCGCCGATGCAGTAACTTACAATCACTTCAAATAAGGTGGGATATAAGCTTTAAAAGGCATACCCTTTTTTATGTTAATATACCGGAATTTCGAGAAAAATCGCATTTTCTAATTCAAGATGGCGCTTGCGCCCCCTAGCGGCATCTTAGAAACCTGAAAATAATTTCGAGAATTTTCTCTTAGCCACTTTAGTTATTAAATTTTTTACTGCAAGTCTCTACAATTTTCCAAGATTTCCAAGTATACCATTATTATTATTTATATCATAATTTTTAGGTGTCAGCATGGGGTGGATATGTTTTCATTATAAATTTAATCCCACTTCACGTTTTCGTTTTAATTTTAATGGGAAGATTCTCCAATAAAGTGTTTACAAGTTACACCACCTTCTATATTCTTGGATTATTACTATCTATGCAAATTCCTTTCGTCGGATTCCAACCAATTCGAACAAGTGAACATATGGCAGCTTCTGGTAACTTAAAAAAAACCTCGTTTAAAAACTAAATTAATTAATTTTTTTTTTCTAGGTGTTTTTGCTTTATCAGTAGCAGTTGCTGTCTTGAAATATCTTCAAAGCGTTCTTTCAAAATCCGAATTTAAATCCATCTTTATTTTTGGTGTACTAAGTGCTGCGGGGGTTGTGTTTTTATCGGTTGTCGTTCTTACTTACGCGGGTTACATTGCTCCTTGGAGTGGTCGTTTCTATTCCTTATGGGATACGGGTTACGCTAAAATTCACATTCCCATTATAGCTTCCGTTTCGGAACATCAACCCACAACATGGTTCTCATTTTTCTTTGATTTACACATTTTGGTAACTACTTTTCCAGCCGGTCTTTGGTACTGCATTAAAAACATAAACGACGAAAGAGTATTCGGTAAATGATTATAATTTTTTTAAATCTACATCTAATCAATTTAATTTTAGTTGTTTTGTACGCTTTGAGCGCTGTTTATTTCGCTGGGGTTATGGTGAGATTGATGTTGACTTTAACACCCGTCGTTTGTGTGTTAAGTGGAATTGCATTTTCTGGGTTATTGGATTTGTTCTTTAAAGAAGAGGTTATCTCGGAAACCGACGGCCAAGAAGTCGAAGAAAGCAGCTCTGGAAGTAAACTCTATGATAAAGTAACCAGTTAATAATTTAGAAACATTTTCTTTAGTTATTTTTTAAATTTTTATAGGCGGGTCGTGTACCAAAAATGAAACACGAGCAACAACAACGCGAATCAGATGCAATTGGGCCAAATTTACGCAGCATAATTTTGGTTATAATCATGTTGCTTTTAATGCTCTTTGCTGTACATTGTACCTGGGTTACCAGTAATGCTTATTCAAGTCCAAGTGTCGTTTTGGCATCTTATGGTGGCGATGGGTCGAGACAAATTCTCGATGATTTCAGGGAAGCTTACTTTTGGTTATCTCAAAATACCGGCGATGATGCTCGCATAATGAGTTGGTGGGATTATGGTTATCAAATAGCTGGAATGGCTAATCGGACGACTCTGGTTGATAATAACACGTGGAATAATAGTCATATAGCGTTAGTTGGAAAGGCGATGTCTTCAAATGAAAGTGCCGCTTACGATATAATGACATCTCTTGATGTTGATTATGTTTTGGTGATATTTGGAGGGGTTATTGGGTATTCTGGTGATGATATTAACAAGTTTTTGTGGATGGTGAGGATTGCGGAAGGAGAGCATCCCAAAGAGATTAGGGAAAGTGATTATTTTACGGAAAATGGGGAATTTAGAGTTGATGTTCATGGATCGCCGACTTTGCTCAACTGTTTGATGTACAAATTGAGTTACTATCGATTTGGCGAATTCAAATTGGATTATCGTAGCGCTGCTGGCTATGATAGAACTCGAAATACCGTTATAGGTAATAAAGATTTTTCGTTAACTTATTTAGAAGAGGCTTATACAACTGAACATTGGTTAGTGAGGATATACAGGTAACTTTAAACCAAAAAAATTTTTAATTTACACTTTAATGAAATTTTATTTTTTTGTAGAGTTAAAAAACCTGATGAATTTAACAGACCTAGAATACCGGTAGCTAGTCGGCTAGTAAAAACTTCAAGTGCATCATCTAAGAAGGTTAATTTTGAATAAATTTATTTTATTACTTTTAATTTGGTTTCATTTTTAGAATTCGAAGCGAAAAAAGGGATCTATAAAAGATAAGCCGGTTATTGTGAAAGGGAAGCGAACGGTGAAACAGTCCTAGTCGAATCCAGAATAATAGGCACTTAAAACAAGTTTATGTTTTATCTTTGTTCCAATGTTCATTTTTTTAACTTGGAAGTGGATTTATTTCTTTTTTGTTGACACACACCTTGTTGTAATTTAAATTACAGATTATGTGATAATTTGTACGAAAGTAATAATAAATATAACACTTTTGCAAGTTACTTTTTTTTAGTATTTTATTGCTTTACTTGTAAATATATCTCCAATATCCCTGATATTGCTTTATTTAATAAAATTAGTTAATTTGCCTCTAATAAGACAATATCTGTTAATTTTTATTTATAATTTCACCCTATATTTATAAACTATGATAATAACAATCTTTTATTACCTTAATTATATAAATCAATTATTAACTTATAGATGGCGCAACAATAACAATTCAATATTTGAGGTTAGTTTTAACGAAATCGCATCCCCTCTCTTTCCAACTAAAGCGATTCTTAATCATTCCATTTCACTTTTTCGTTTACTTTGAGAACTCCCTACTTTATCAAAAACCAAATCGATATTAAGACGAAATTTGCTTCTTAAACTCAACAAAAATGACTTACCAATTGTATAGAAATACAACTCTTGGTCATACGTTGCAAGAAAGTTTAGATGAATTGATTCAGGTAAAAAAAGAAATTTTTTTTTGGTTATACATTTTTATGAGACAAATTTTTAGTATGGACAAATTACACCTCAATTGGCATGTAAAGTTCTATTACAATTCGATAAATCCATAAATCAGACTTTGGCAACTAAAATTAAATCTCGATTAACTTTTAAAGCTAATAAACTCAACACATATAGATTTTGCGATAACGTTTGGACGTTCATGTTGAATGATGTTGAGTTTCGAGAGGTACAAGAAATTACGCGGATTGACAAAGTAAAAATTGTAGCGTGTGATGGGAAAAGTAAGTTAATTTCTAACCACAATAAAATCCTATTAATTTATCATTTCTTTTCTTGTTTTAGATGTACCGGAAGAAGGTGGTTCGAAAAAATAAGCTTTATGTGTGTTTGAATGTTGTGAGGATTATTTTTAATATTTTTTTCAAAGATTGTCAATAAGTTTTGTTTATAAGGTGTTAATTAGTTAGATTAATAATAGAAAACGCAAATGATTTCTGTACATTTAAAATAAACCCTAATTTTAAATCAATAAACTAACATTATCATCAAAGGAAAAAGTTATTAAATTGATCAAAATAATCAAAAAGATTCAAGGTTCTTTATATAACCTCAAAATTACATCAACATAACCTTAAATAAGTCAAAAAATCAATTCTTTCGTTCAATAATAATAAAATAACATTTTGAAGATTTTAATAATGCCTAGTTAATAATAAATTAAGTTATTTAAATGGTAATATTTATTTTAGAATAATAAATGATTGAATAAAATAAAAATTATATAACCTCAAAATTACATCGATATAACCTCAAATAAGTCAAAATGTTTCCTCGACAATTAACGTTTAAACTTTTAAAGAATTCGTCCCAATTTAATTATTTCCCCACTACTCAACGTTTGATGGGTTTATTCCATGAATCGGACGACAAAGGTGGTTATAAAGATAATAGAAAAAAACCTTCAACCACGCAGTTTATAAGGGAAGGTTTTAAAGAACTTAAATCGGAAATTAAATTGTGGACTGAAGAAGTGAAAGATCGCTTTGATTATGATCCTCTTATAGTGTTTAGATCTGGTGAAACCGACGTTGTTTGGGATTTTCCTGATGAAGAGTCTTTAAAGCAATGGGTCGTTACCAGCGATAGCGATAATAACGAGGGATATAGTAAATGTAGTTTAACTTTAGATCAAAATAAAAATGCTCTTTTTAGTGGTGTTTTGGATACTAGAGTCCCTAAGGATGGGCGCATTAAAAGAGCTGGTTATTGCAATATTAAAACAGTCCGACATCGAGTAAGTACTTATAGATTTTTTTGGGTATATATTAATTATGATTAATCATTTAGAAATCATTTAAAAGAGAAGCATTTTTGGATTGGACCGCTTATAATATGTTAGTTATGAAAGTTAGAGGAGACGGGCGATCTTACATTATAAATATACATACAAGAGGTTATTATGATCTTATGTGGAATGATGTTTATAGTTATGTTTTGTATACGAGGGGAGGACCTTATTGGCAAGTTACAAGGGTAATACATATTATAAATAATATATGTTTATGTTAATTATTATTTATTTTTAGTTGCCATTTTCAAAGTTCTTTTTATCATCAAAAGGGCGTATTCAAGATCGACAATTTCCTTTAGCAACTGACAAAGTGACTAATTTCAGTATTAGTTTAGGTGATAAAGTCAATGGTCCATTCAGTTTAGAGATACAATACATTGGAGTTGAATTTGATCCTGATCATAGAGAAGAATTTGCTTATGAATTGTATCAAGCTGATAAATATATTGTTGGAGTTTAATCCAGTTTTCTTTATTAGGGAATTGTATATTTATTAATCCAATAAAAAAGGTTTTATTAATGCATTTTATTTCATAACTTAATAAATACTAAAAATACAGCAATTCCTATTTTAAATTATTATTTATCTAATAAATACTCCTCTTGTATTTGCTTCATATTTTGTTGAAATAATTTTAGGGTAATTTTAAGTTGAATCCTTTACTAAAAAAATTTTAAATGAATTACACAATAAAACTATAAAACAATACATGCTTCTAATGTCATACAGTAGATTCGTTCTCTCCACTTGTAGTAGTAACACCCATCGAAACTGTTCTAGTTTCTGTATAATCACTGTTTGTTTCATTATTTTCTGGTACAGTAAAAAATCCACGGAAAGGAGTTAATTTTGATGGATCAAGCATGTTACGATTTTTTTCTTTAAATCTTTGGGGTGTTCGATTTGGTGATGACCGTCTACTATTGAAAGATTTCAACATTTTTGCTCTAAAATAAAAAAAAAAGATTTTTTAAATAAGTTTTTGATTAATACATTATTCTTACGCATCTATTAACTTTAAAAGTAATCTGCTATAAGTTTGATATTCATCTTCCATGAAATTATTAGGGTCATGCCTTGCATGTTCATACAAATCGCAAAATTGATGAATAAGTCTTTGTCCTGAACCATTTAAAGGAGCTGCTAATGTTGATAATAAATAAGCCCTTAAATTTTCATTTGGTTGTCGAACTAAATCTTTATCTTGTTTTGTAATTTCTTTTTCTTAAAAATACACACAAAACTATTAATTAATTAAATTCATAAATTCAACATACCTAATAATTTAATATCATCAACAGCTTTTAACCTATAATAATGATTAGATACTTGTTGAGTTGGGCATACAATATACCTTGAGTTATTTACACTCAAAAGTAAAGGCTCACAGGAAATTCTTTGTATAATATCAATGTAAGTTTCAATATTTCTTCTTAACACCTAAATAAATTTAAATGATTCAGTTATAATAGAAATTAATTAGATTAGAATACCTTTGAAGCATCATGCCCTATAGGTATATGTGGACCTCTTGTAGATCTTAAAGCGAACCTCATTATTTGCCTTTTTGCGAATATAAATAACAAAAGGAATGTTAACACACCCAAACCTATTATTATTACTACCGTTACGCCCGATAATGCCTCAGTCATTATTTAAAAAGATTCTAATAAGAAAATTGTTATTATTTTTATGCAAAATGTTTAATTTGACATTTAAATAACCTCTTCAAATTATCGTAAATAAAAAGAAACGTCAATTTACAGTTTAAGTCACATAATCAGAATTGCCACGTTTAGTACAAATATATTCCCTATAAATATAGTGTAATTTCCCTAGATTTTAATTGGATTAAAATAGTAATAACTGTGATTGTGTGTTAAAAGTGATTTATTCTATTTAATATTATTATTGATTACAAAAAATTCCATATTTATACTTGAAATCGATTTTTTTATTTTTGTTTGCTTTACATGCGTATGTGGCATAGTTCCGGTACCTTCAAAAATCTAGATTTTATCATTGTTTATTGACTTTATTTGGTGGAAATAAAGCTATCAGATAAACTTTTCTTGATTATTAAGAACCTATAAACAAGGGTAATACTTTTTAGATTTAAATTCTTTATAAATTTAATACAGATTTCTGTAATATACGAATTTTTATTTATGAAATCTTTGTATAGAGGGCGATTAAATTCACATTGAGTAGTTGTACTTTATCATTGATAATTAAACTATTTGAAACAAACTTTGACCATTCCAAATACTTCTTCTTTCTCTTACTCCCATTTATACTTTATAGTGTTGAGTTTTGAATCCATCTTTTATACATCTTCCTATCTTTGGCCATAGTTGGTACAAGTCTCTTCCCTCTTCTTTCAACCATCTTCTCAATCTCTCCCTCCAATTGGGTTCTTGGTTTACCACGCTTTCTCTTTCCTTCTGGCCTCATGTTAAACATTTTCTTAGGTATTCTATCTTCTTTCATTAGAACCAGATGACCATACCAACTTAGTTGTTTCCCCTCTATTTCATGTACCAGGGGGTTTTTGCTTAATTCTTCTCTGATGTTTCATACCCTATCTCTTCTGGTCTTTATTTTCGATTTGTGCTTCGGAAGAGCCAATACTATTTTTTCTCCAATTCCATTACATTTTTGACTTTTACCTACTTTATAAAGATGCTATAACGATTTCAGAACGTAGCCTACAATTTTCCGGTAAAAATACAAATGTACTCGCGTTATAATGAGAGTACATGGTTTATAAAAAAAAAGTTCGTCGTCGTTGTTGCCAAGTAACTGTTGATTTGCGATTGGTATCGACCTTTTCGTGTTTTGTAAACACCCTCCTTTTCCCTACTTTTTCGATCTCGCCGATCTATCGTCGTCAATCCTTAAAACGGTGTACACGAGGCGAAAACGGGGGGAAAGAAAAGTGTCGAAAAAGATTTTTCCGTCGCGTTTTGAAACCCGCTCTACACGATGACGAGAACGGCGCCTCGACGCGGGGTTCTTCGGGGGACGGGAAATGGTATCCATAGAGAGGGTGACCATCGCTACCACTTCTGACGTCAATATAGATGTTATCGCAAGGGTGTTCTCGTACTGGGCGCAACTGTATTTTAATTGTATTATTTATGTTTCTTTAGCGTTTCAAAAGGGCAGCACCCTAAAATAATTACAAAACATTTCTTCCGCTTTCTGTCGCCGTATACAATATCATAATTACAATAAATCAAACACGATTCTTTTGCACAAATTAAATTCAGTTCTAAAATAATTAGTGTGCGTTTACATTTTCTTAATTTCCTTTACGTATTTGGGGGGACGCGGTGCCCTGGGGGTGTCAATGCGACGCATTAAGCCAGCACAGAAACGACCGTTCGGCACAATGAATCCCAAATTTGAATCGTTAATGTTAATGGGTAGAGATGATAGCCGGGGCTTCAATTCGATTCTCTCACGGTTTTCCACGTTGTCCATTATGGATACTAGTCCCGGGGGCAAATTGTTTAACCACTGGCGGGTCAAATGCATTGGATTTGATAGGATTTGTCGGATTGGGTTACCATTACAAGAAAAATTGATTCTATCGTTACCATTTCCCCAAAACCGATCTATATCATATCACACTCAACAATCACGTAACTAAAATTTTGTTTGAAGATAATAAAAACAAAAAAAATACAGATTATGATTTTTTTACATGAATTAGAGGTTCTTAGTAAGTATACAAGTACCTAAAATATTTAGAAATGAACAAGATTAGATTTTTCAACTATCTCATCATATTTCACCACCTTTAATGTCAATAAAGATCAGCAGTTTAGTCTTCTATTAGTAGAATCTATTATCTGCTAGTTTGTCAGCAGCTAGATCCTACTACCAGTCTTTTACGAAAGGTATCTCGTCTTCTGCCAGTTGTATCTAGTTTTTTATTAACACTATCTAGTCTCCAGCCAGCAATTTCTAGTCTGCGCTCCGCAATATCCATTGTTTTAGTGCAGTATGTAGTGGTCTACCAACAATATCTAGTCGTCTATAAACGGTATCTAGTCTTTTGCCAGCAGTATCTCACCATATAGTTGTAGTATCTAGTCCTCCACCAAGATTTTTTAGTTTCCTGTCAGTAGAAGTTGTCACAACATAGTGAACTTAATGAAAAGTGGGATAGTTTTAAACCCACAATTCAATTTCTATAAAGTTTTTAAAAATAAGTGATACCGCGGCAGTGTTCTCATATCTACTATACTCTGTTTTTAAACCAGGAGGAGTATTTTAAATTTGTCACCAGATTGACCTTGCACGTGATTGGTTGAATGCGAGGAAGGTTCACACACAGGCAATTTTGAATTTTGATTTTGAATTTGAAGGTTAGGTAATTGATAATTCGACAGTTTCGTGTCATTATTGTATATTTTGTGTTCTTAAACCCTTTTTTATTATATTTTGAAATAAATACACTCATAACTTCAATGTTAATTTGTATGTTTAGTGTTGACGATAACAAACGAAAATAAATACAATAATAAGTAAATAAATAAATAATAATAATTATTAATTTAAATTTACCGCCAAAATATCTAGTGATATTTTCTGGTGATTTTTCCTAGTGTAAATCTGACTTTCGCGTTTACTCCTCCTGGTTTAAAAACAGAGTATAGGTTCCTTCTATTCTAGATTTTCCATGGGAAAAGGATTCATTCCAAAAATGTTCATGAATAAGTTACCTTTATTTAAGAAAGTAAACTTAACACCGATTGACTGCCAACTTTAAATAAATTAAAATATAAAAAAAATTGCATTTTGACGTTTATGGTTATGTTATTGTTGTGATTGAAATTGTTTAGGTTGCGTTTAAATTATAGAGAGTTTTTCTCCTAAAATAAATAAGTTTTGTTGTGTAATATCGAGTTATAAACTGCAAGAAAGTGATATTTGTGCATTTCGTGAAAGGAAAGTGAAGATTTTTGTTAAAAATTAAAATTTTTAAATTTATAGTTATCTTTACATTTAATGATTCTATTTTCATCAATTACTAAACGGGATTTAATTTTAATTGTTTAAACAATATCCTAAATCACACTTATTTGAAAAAAATTTTATTAAAATAAAATTTTCGCGGCATATCTCAACTTAACAGCGATTGACTGCCAACCTTAAATAATTTAAAATATAAAAAAAATTGCAATTTGACATTTAAGGTTATGTTATTGTTGTGATTGAAATTGTTTGGGTTGCGTTTAAATTAAAGAGAGTTTTTCTCCTAAAATAAATAAGTTTTATTGTGTAATATCGAGTTATAAACTGCAAGAAAGTGATATTTGTGCATTTCGTGAAAGGTAAGTGAAGATTTTTGTTAAAAATCAAATTTTTTTAAAATTTTAAATTTATACTTTTAATGATTCTATTCTCATCACTTACTAAATGGGATTTGATTTTAATGGTTTAAACAATATCCTAAATCACATTTATTTTAAAAAAATTTTATTAAAATAAAATTTCCGAGACATATCTCAACTTAACACCGATTGACTGCCAACCTTAAGTAAATTAAAATATAAAAAAATGACATTTGAGGTTATGTTATTATTGTAATTGGGTTCGTTTTTGTTGCGTTTAAATTAAAGTGAGATTTTCTCTTAAAATAAATAACTCTTGTTGCTAATATCGGGTAATAAACCGCAAGAAAGCGATATTTGTACGTTTCGTGAATTGTAAGTGAAGATTTTTGTTAAAAATTTAAGTTTTTTTAAAATTTTAAATTAATAGATTTTACAAGATTGTCATTTTTCAAATCCGCCAACCTTAAATAAATTAAAATTACTAAAAAAATTGTACTTTGACATGTGAGGTTATGTTATTGTAAAATCGTTTTCAAATCCTTCCATAATCTTTTTTATTTAATTATTGAAATCCTCTAACATAACGTTCGATTTTTAAATAAAAGATTGTCTTCTAAATCTGAATCGAAATGATTATGATCATTTCGATTATTAATTAGTTATATTTTGCGAGTCTCCTTTGCTCCAATTTAGCCTCGACTTCTTCCACACGAAGTTGGAGATTTATAATTTGGTTTGCGAGGGCTTTGCGGAGTTTTTCTTGGATTTGGGCGTGATCTTGTTCCACGCGAAGTTCATCGGCTAATCTCGCGGTATCAACCATGGCCTTTTTAGCTTTTTCTTCGGAGTTCTTAGCTTCGTTTAAGAGCTCATCTAAGTTGCTGTGGAGGGTTTGAAGTTCAGTTTTCAATTTCTTCTCAGCGGCGGACATTGAAGCGATGGATATGGAAAGGTCGTTAATTATTTCGTGGGCGTCACTCAATTCAGGTTGATTTTGAGTTGCATTTTCCGCCATCTAAAATTCTCAGATTCTCAATAATTGTTTATTCTAAAAATAATTAAGAATTTACCTCGAAATTAGGTTTAATTTTTTCTAAAAGATCTTGGGGACTCATTGGATTTGAGTCAACGAAGCTTGTAATGATTAACAAAGATAGCACAAAGTTTAACATCGTTGTGCAAGTTTTTTTTTAAGTTTAAATTATAAACATTAGCTTTCTAATTTATACTTGAAATTGTTCCAACCATTTAAGTGAAAAATAACTAAAAAAAATGGAAAAATAAATTCTTTTCAACAATTAAGTTTTTCCTTCAAAAACGATAACAAATTTTTTTGTATATTTAAAGAATTTTAAGTAATAAGTTGTTGCGTAATAAGAGAAATTACCGATAACGGCACCGCAAAAGTTAAAATTACCGATTTTGTTACAAACCGGGTGAAAAATTAATTAAAATACCATACTCTGGAGTCAGAAATTTAAAAAAGTTTCAATACGAAAGGTAGTTAATTATCATACCTTGATTATCATAATCACGATGCTTGACCCGAAAATTAAGCCGAGGTCGCTTGCGGCCGAGGCTCTGCCTCAATCATGACACTTTGTCTTCATCCATTAAGGAAAGGAAAGTAAGAAGTTGATTCTGAGGTTGGATTGGGTTGAGGTTTTACCATAACTATGATACTTTACGTTTGAACGATGCCTAGAAATTGAAGCCGAGGTCACTTGCAGATGAGGCTCAGCCTCAACCATGACGCTTCGTTTTCATCCGGTAAGAAAAAAAAGTAAGAAGTTGATTCTGAGGTTGGATTGGGTTGAGGCTTTACCATAATTAATGGGAATTAGTTATCCATTAGCAGTATCCAGTCTTCTGTAAATAGTGTGATATTCTACTAGCAGTGTTTGAGTTTCCTGTCAATAGTATTTAGACTTCTATTAGTGATGTTTAATCATTTTCCAGCGGTACATGGTCTTTTATTAGCAGTATCTGGTTTTCTGCCAGCAACATCTAGTCTTATATTGGCAGGATCTAATCGCTTATCAATAAATGTGTAATCTTCTGCCAGTATCTATTCTTTTATTAGCAGTATCCTGCTCTCTATCAGAAGTGTGTAGGCTTCTCCCAGCAGTATCTAGTCTTTTACGAGCACTATCTGGTCTTCAGTCAGTAATACTTAGTCTTCAAGTTGCAGGATATAGTCCTCTATGAGCAGTGTGTAACCCTCTGCCAGCAGCATCTAGTCTTTTATTAGCAGTATCTGGTATCACATGACGACCAGACTTATAAAAAAATTTCCTCAATATCGATAATGCCCATGTTTGCAAGACTTTTTACGGACCAATTTGAAGAGGATTTATGGCAAAATATAGACATTAATCTTTCTATAGTCAACTTGCTTACTAAGAAAAATTTTAAGAAATTTTTTAGGAATTTTAGTAGCTGCATTTGAATTTAGGATATTATGCATCAATTGAGTGTTAATTATTTTCCTATTAAAACAAATAAAACTGTGTAAGTAGACCCCAGCTGTGTGATTAATGACTATAAGAAAACCTTTAAGTTCAATATATTAAATTAGATATTGAGGAGTCTTTTAAGTAGAAACTCCCCTGTCACATTTAATTTAATTTTGTGCACAGTTTGACGCCCAATTATTACGAGCAGTAATTGAAACCCCACAATTAGACTGTCACTTGTCGGCCACAACGGGTGGTTGGCGCCAGACTCGTTTACTATACGGTATCATACACAAGTGCCGCATCGACACACTCTGCTGATAAATACTCAGCTTTTATTTTTACAAGTGTAGTGGAGAGAAAGGGGAAATTCCGAGAAAAGTAGATTTTAATGTATTGAAAATCTTTCGAGCGTCATTCGCAAATGCGACAGGACAACAAACAAGGCGGAAAAGCGTCCGACGATTCGATCGGGCGATGAGATAAAGATAGGACGATATACTACAGATGGTGGTGGCGTATTAAGTTCGCACCTTATCTTTGCTTTGCCATTAAATATTAACGACATTGTGGCCGGGAACTGAACGACCCGCGGAGTTATGGCCGTTGGGAAAGTGGAGATGTAAAACGATAGTAAAGACGACGTTTTGTTTGCCGTTTCGTTTTCCTTTCCATTTTGACCCATATAAAGCTATCTTTTTAATATCATTCCCTCCATCGTTTATCCAACGATTCTAATCTGTCTTGATTCATTTTTGTGATTTATTTAAATGCGATTATCGAACATTTTATATGCAGTTTTGAAGCAATTAAAGTTTCTACGTGTGATGTAAACTAAATAATAACGGACCGGAAATGGTGTCCGTATTACACCCACGAACCTCTAGGCAAGCTGAATAATAATTATAACAATCCCCTTTCCTAAGGCGATGTTAAAACGGGCCAAGTTTGGCCTTAATATCATGTCGTCGGAAAGTCGAACGTAATCGACATGGCTGCGGGCTGGTGGAGGGGAACCCTCCCCGACAATCTGTCGTTAATTTGCCACATCCACGTTGATTTAGACGTTTCGGTTCATTCTAATTCGCGTCACACCCCTGCTGCGAGGTCGCTGCGAGCGGCACTGGGTGAAAAACAAGTGAGCCACCGCGGCTACAACGACGGCGACGGCGGTGCCACGTCAACGCCGCCGTCGCCGCCACCGTTATCGTCGACGGTGCTGCCCTCATCGATAACGTCGCGCGCATAAGTAAGTTTAAGCGGGCGGTAGCGTATGCAAATTGAGGCAAAATTTCCTTTCCTTTCGATAAATAATCAAGCTCTTGTCGCCGCAATAGCGTGATGCTCGAACGATTTTATTGACAACAGTGTCAAAAACATTAATCGAATGGAACGTTGCCACGGTTCGTGGTCGTGTAACCCGGAAATCTTCTCCAACTGAAAAATACTCTTCAGGGAAACGTGACAACCCCGTAACCCCATGGCTTACATTAATTTAGTAACAATATTTTGTTTTGCAGAAATATATGAAATGTATTAGTACGATTAATTTCCAGATCATTCACTTCTGACAAAGCACAAGATGATGAATTTAAGATCTTTAACTTTACATTTACATAAATTACTGTATTATTATTCCCCAGTGGCGATGTTATTAAACAACTTGGCATATCTCATTCCAGGAGAACTGGTCCACAGTAGGCGAAGTTGCTCTACAGCCCACAGTCCAATCCTATGTTTGGCCAACGCAAGTGATACACCAGTTGCTGTACAAACTCCCACAAACGCTTTAGCTCTGCCTTCTCGAGCTAGCTCATCTGCCAGTTCATTGCCAACAAAGCCAGAGTGACCTAGAACCCAAATTAGAGAAACTCTGTTATCACAAAGGCAGTACAATCTGGTATCAAGCATTAATCACTGATAGTAATACCGCTAAATCTGACGGCATTGATAGCACACTATCAGTGCTTATAATGTTTTCCGCAGCCCATTGGTAGGACATGTTGAACAGTTTTGACCATATTGCTTAAATCTGTAAATGGTAGTTTTAGCCACTTTGTCTATGCAAATGCAAAGGAGAAAATGATATCTTGCTAACTCAACATCTTCAAGCCCTCAACTGCTGAACATAGTTAATCCAGCGTCTTCCTCTACTTGTCTTATCCATTCTCGGTCTCCACTGGAGCAGTCCCTTAGTCCACCTTCAAAGAGGCCACGTGCCCGGTCCAATTCCATTTGTATTTTACAATTCAAGCAATCACATCTGTAAAACTCGTTCTTTTTTTTAGATCCTCGTTAATCACTCCGGGTCGAAGCAAAACGCCAAGCATCGACCTTTCCAATTTTCTCTGTGCAATTTGAAGGTTTTAGAAGTCAATGTTTCAGCACAGTACGTCAAAACTCATCAAATCTTTTGCGTTTTAGACAGATTGCCATAGGTTGTCTCTTAAAGTTTTTTATTCGTGTCCAAGATAAATGTAGTTTTCTACAAGTTCCACGTCATCATCTTCAATACTAGAAGGTAGCTACATCACGTGTTTTGTTTGGGTTGTTTTGATTTGAGCCCCACACTGGCATATACTTGGTGGAGGTCATGCCGCTTCGATGAAGCTTCATTGGCGTTGATTACAATCTGTAACTTTTAACGCTAAATGTAAAAATAATATGTATCAAAGATAAAAATTGTTCAAAATTCTACACATTTCACTAAAACATCAAAAAGTATTGGAAAAAAAAATAAAATAATTGTGAAAATAAATTTTGAACATCAATTAAAGTCAGAATGGTTTGGGGTAAGGTAATGGGGAAATATTCAGTGCCATTTATAGCGATCCAACGTCGACCACCACAGATATATCTTAATCGCAGTAACCTAGTTCATTGCCGTGGAGGTTTGCAAACCAATGAACACTGGATGACTTGGTCGCGCTGTTTGCGTTCGTTGCCAAGGAAACGACGTCGATTATTTCCGGACGCGTTCGACACGATCGCATCAAACTAGATTCGCAATTAAATCTCTACGGCACAATACATATTATGACCATTTTTCAGCAAGTGAACGAATGCCACGTGTCCGACCAAAAAAGCAGAAAGATATATGGCAATTGCCAATAATCAATCAAAAAGCAATTTTTTAAAAAACGTTGTTTTAAATTCTTAGAATAATAACGAAATAGATAAGTTACAATAATAGTAATTAATTTCTTTTTTCACTATCCCTCATCGTCATTACCAATACCTGGCAATTAACGTAATCGGCAATTGGAAATTCCGTGTAAGCACGTTGTCAGTCCGTAACGCATCTAATTTAACATCGCTGAGTAAGCAATCAATAGGCAAGTCAATTATTAAATACCGACCATCAAAGTTTGCGATTTGAGAATCATAACAACGATATATCATATGGTATAATATGGTTATTTAGTGCAATGTGATTATATTTTTTGTAAAATGAAAATGTGCATATCACGAGAATCAACAGGCTTCACATCAAAAAGCTTTCAATATAAAACAGGTTTTGAAACAAGGAGATGGATTAGCGCCAGTGATAGTCAACGTAACGCTGGAACATGCAGTAAGAAAAACAACAGTCGATGTCAACTCATCACTATTACATAAGTCGAAACAATTAGTAGGATATGCGGACGACATTAACATAATGGAAGGAATGTGAACGCCATGAGGGAAACCTTCACATGGAGAGAACGAGACAGAACGAGAAAGCAAAATATAACGTTTG